TAAAGTGAAAAGAGCAGCGACAGGTGCAAGAGAAATTATATCCAACCTTCCGACCCAGCGACACATATTATATACAACTTTTTATATACACTTAGATATGGATTTGTATATGCCCCAAAGTTATTCGGTACAAGTGCAAGGACGCACTCTGGAATTATCGACTTGTTTTGTATTGTCCCATTTAAGTTCAGTCTGGGATTTTTGTTCTACTCACATTTGGCTTAAAGGGACGCTCCTTTCGCAGGCACTGAGTCTAATCCAAGTCCAGAAGTTAAATAAGATTTTTAAGGTATTTCACACACACTATACTATTCACTGTTTTTTATTTCTTATCACTGTTTAAATATATATTTTTATGCCATCAAGGGATCACTGAATAATTTGAATTTATCATTGATTAAAAATGCCCAACATCTCGAGTCCATCTTTAATCAACCTAATGCATGCAGCAATGAAGTGAACAAATAATACTAATAATAAACTAAATTAGTGGATTTCAAGAACACATGCTATTGGGCTCGTTAGTTAGCTGGGAATGGGAATGGATATGGGGATGGTTATGGGAATCGAAATGGGAATGAGTTCCACATTCGATATGTAATAAATGACGCCCTATTAATGGCTTTGTATTGGTGAGCTGGTTGGTTAGTGTGCTGGTGATTTTGGTGTGGTTATGCATATAATGGATTGAAATACGTTAAGCGTTGGCGCGCCGAATGTGATGACCTCCATGACCCGTCCACGGCAAAGCATGTTTTTATTCCTCACACTGAATCGATACTCATTAAAGTTTTTAAATAAAATCGCACCGAAAATTTGTGTAATTATGTAATGAAGGATTTTTCAATATTTTATTTATATTTACACACTGTTAATATTTTCTAAATTTTTATATTTCTTGTTTTTAAACTATTTTGATTTATTTTACTATTTTAAAAAAATGTTTTCTTTTTATTGGCGATGGGTAACTTGTTAAAATATCACTGCATTCGATTACGCGCACTCCGTTATTACAGGACTTATTCCTGAAGCGACGTTACCAAGGACGAACGTAACGTGATCCTTTCGTAGCGAGCTTCAAGCCGCTACTAATGGCTTTTACTTCGGCTTCGTATGTTTACGACTCTCAGCGACTTCTAACGAAAATTGAGCGCATTGCGAAAGTGAGAGTGAGAGCAGGTGAGAAAGTCAAAGCAGAAGGAAGGCGGAAAATACACCCACAGAAATATCCTTAAGATATTCAACTAACAAATTTTTTATTTTGAAGTTACCTTTATTTTAAAATTACCATTTTAAATCCCTCTTTCAGACTAATTAAAACGAAAAATTAAAAAAGCTTTGTCAATCAATTTTTCTAGATAGTATACCTACCCATAAAATAAAGTCTAAAATAAATATGTCTAATTTTAAAAACATATATTTTGAAAATTTGTCTAAATTAAATTTAAATTTAACATCAGTGTAAGTTAAAATATAACTATACTTTCAAAAACATTATATAAAATGTTAAAAAATAAAGTAAAAAAACTGATCTTCAGTAAATGTTTAAAATTACTAAAAAGGGAATTTTTTTTACAGTGTCGAGAGAGACACTCAAAACTCGAGTCGCGATTCAGTCACGTCTTCGGGCCCTAATTGTTAAGCTAACGGTAACCGTGTTTTGACCCGCTGGCAGAGCAACAATTTTCCGCCCTTCAAGTGTCGTGGCAGTGTCATGAAAACTATGCACTATTAGGGGGCTCATAAAGTTCTCGCAGCAAAAAAAAAGGAAGCACCCTTTCCCACCAAAGATAGCAAAATGGAACAGCGAAAATAAATTATAGAAAATTACTTTTAAGCACTTAGCCACGTTTTTATTACGAAATGGTTTCCTCCAAAAGCAGGCAACAACTCCACTCTACATAAGCCGCAATAAATCCCTGCCAGAAAGTGAAGAAGGAACAAATTTGGGTCAAGTGGCCGCATTGGAATTGAACCCTCTACGAAATTCGGACAGCACTTGTTTGCTCTCCATCTCTCTCGCTCTCTTTCCTTCTGGCCAGGTGGGAATACAAAGGATTCGTCGGAAATGTTTAACCACAATAAAAAAAACACTAACTAAAAAAACTACAGAGAGAAAAAGGAGCGCGAGAGTGTATAAAAAATGGGGCTGGGGTTAGCCCAATACCACTGGAAGGCAATCCGCTCGGCAGGATAATGCTGATGGTCAGCAAAAGTTAGGTGGGTGTAAGCGTGCGACTTCCTGCAGGATATACAGGAGCTAATCTAAGATTAATTATGGTTTTATTACGATCTCGTTGCCGTAAATTCTTTAGATTTTTTTTTATGTCTAACAGGAAAGTATTAAATTTTAAAACCTAATAAATAATACTTGATATAAACCCATAATTGGTCTTAAAATATAAATAAATGTCCTGCTCTGTAGTATGGACTCTTCCTAAGTTCCTTTGAGTACATTGTTTAGGTCATTAGGTCCTTAAATGGCGCCATTATGCCATCTGTCGAACTTCTGTCTACTGATTGACTAACAACGTAAACACTTATGTACATGGGAGATGTCGCCATATGACTTTAACTACTTGACTTATAAACTTTTCTGCGGTTTCCAGCTGTGCAATTGTCAAAGTTTCCTAAACTATTTGCTATTAAATTACAAGTCATTTAAGGTAAATATTTGAGAATAATAAATATACAGTTTTAAAGTTTTAGGCTATTAAACAATTGTAAATAAATATCCACTTATTTAAGATTATTATCTATATGAAGAATGACAAAAATATTAAAATATGTCAGACTCTTAAAATCGGAAATTCCTTGAACTATTTTGTAAATTAAAATTTGGTTAATATACGCAGTGTTACCTTCTCGTATGGTGTTAATTTTTGTCATTCTCCGTTTTAGGAAAACCATATGCATGTCCAGCGTACACAACATTTGTTTTTACGACCAGAAAAGAAAGTGGGTGAATGTGAGTGGGGAAATTGTTTGGATTTTCCCGCTCGCAGTTGGCTCGGCAAAAACTGGACTCCCTGGCGGCCAAAATGGTTATTTTTAGACCGAAAACAAAGTGTTTTGCTGGCCAGGACACGCGACCAGGACAAGGTAACGCCAACGGTAGAGTTACAGGTAACTGAATATGGTAACATGTTAGTGGCTATGGCTTGGCTATGCAAATGCAAACAATGCATTGCCCTCGAGATTCGATGTCGACATATGCGCTCACAGCAAATAGGAATACCAGAATAAGGTATTTCCCAAGATGTGGCAAATGGGGAAATGGGAAATGGAGGACGCGAAGTTTAGTCACTCGAATGGGGCGACATATGCGGGGTATAAATAAAAAATCAATCAAAAAGTCGGTAAATATGTAAAATGTCCTAGGACCTAGAACCTAGAACCCACTACCCAAAAACCCACTCCCCCATATTCCCATATGCATGCCAAATGAGCTAACAACAGAACATCACAAAAACAAAAAACAGCGGAAAAGCGGAAACAGAAACAAGAAACAACGACAACTAACATGTGCGGCTCATAAAAAATTCAAAATTTTAATCGAAACATAGTGCAGGCGAGGCGAAAAATAGAACACGGCACAATGCGACTCTAAGCGATGCGTCCAAATAGATAAGCAAAGTGCATGCGGTTGTCTGCAAATGCTTTTATGGGTTTATGGTTTATGGAGAGGGAAAAGAGCAATGCCAAATACATCACTAATCGAAACACTTATTCGACAGCCCAGTAGGGCATTAATTTCATTTTAATACCGATTAGTAAATTAACACATTAATTTATTCAAAAATGTCTTATTTATGACTCGTGGGGTTTTTGAATTTAGCTATGCAGATATTTCAAAAATGCCGCTAAACAATAAAATGCAGTTTAAAAATATATACACTTTTGTTAAGTAATTGCAAAAAAGCTGCATAAATTTACCGCCTAAATATGCGAATAATTAAGTAGATTAAGTAGTCAAGTTACAATGAAATCTCGTGACGGCGAAAAACCCCCCTTAATAGTGTGGCCTATGAGAAGTTTTTAAGATTAATGCATTCTTAAAAATAAAATCAGTTATTAAATACAACAAAATTTTATACCAATAGTAAATATTAGTCAATCACCTTACCCATTATTTGTAGTGTTGCTACTTGAGTGCCCCACGTTTTTAAATCCAAATTTATGGGGGAAGACACGACTGACATGGGCCATGCGAAAGCCAATTGGCTGTCAGGACTGGACTGTTCAAAGCGTGCACTTTGACCCGACTTCACCCCGTTTCTTCTGTCCCCCAACAAAGTGCAGCCCAGTTGATTGCACAAATCGGTGCCGTGCACAGTACACCAACACATTATTGTTTACTATTCGTTCTAATATTACTTTCACTCTCTTATTTTCTCTCATTTTTCTTTCTAACATACATATGAATTGGCCAAAGAGATAATAATGGGAGTATTATAAAAGAATAGACACGATTAATAATTATTAAGAATTCTTAAACCAAGTGTATTTAAAAAAAAAACTTGTACCTTTTAAGTTGAAATTTTATATTTCTTTTGGCAACTTCTGCAATTTTGGAATACTTAGGCACTTTAGAAAATATTATACAAAATAAGTGCTTTAGAATTTAATCTTATATGGTCTTATTTCTATAATACGCTAACAAGGTTTAAATAAATTACTATTTTATTACAAGCTTTTTGAAGTTCTTAAATTTGAAAGCAAAGCTTAAAGTAAAACTCATGCAATTTTAAAATAGCGAGTTCAAAAAAAATCTATTGCCACATTTTGGACATCCACAAAAGTTCTTAAATTAATTACAAAAATTCTGAGATGTTTTAAAATTTGTTTTTATCCGTATTTATATAGATTAAGTTATCTTTAAGTCTGAGCTTTTCGGCGGTCAAAATTTAGAATTACAAAGGTACAAGTACGACAAAGCTTTTGAAGCTTGGTTCAGTGGCGAATTCTTATCGACGCTGTCCGTTTTACATGTGTTGCTTTCTTGTTTACAGTTGCCAGATAAATTCTCCATATTGCGGCGAGAGGGCGACGATAAACTAGCCGCCAAATCGTGACAAATGGCAAATAATTTCGCGTTGTAACATCTCCAACCGATCGACAGGCGTTTGCATTGCAGTTGCATCGCCGACGAAATGCCAATCAGTCGCTCCATAACTCGGGTTACGCTTTGTTTAATTCTCAAATTAGTGTTTTGTGTACATGTTTGAAAGAGTTGTTTAATATTTTGGCACCATGGGCAGCCAGTCGTGGACTCTGCCCCGCCTTTCGCAATCGAGTGTGTCCACCCACAGGCTCCTGGGCTCCGTGCGATTGACTTACGCGATATGCGCCTTTTTGGCCACTTGTCTGCATGCTGCCATGCGGAATATGCTCGGCATGATTATCCTCAAAATGGTTATGCCACGGCCGGATGATGCCCTGGAAATTCCACAGGAGATGGCTGGACTGCCGGATACCAATATCACCTCGGTGGGGCGATGTGGATATCCTCGGATGGTTCCCAACCCGCTGATCCGAGAGACTCAGGCAAGATGATTTACCTTTAAAAAAGGCAATAAATAAAAGTTACCATCATAATTGGATATACTAAAGACCTTATAGAGATAAAAATAAATGTTAGCAAACAGAAAGTCATGAGTTAAAGTCATAAAACTGATTAATGCTCACATACAAACTTAAATCAAACAAAACATAAATTAGTATTGACTTTAACCATAAACAATTGCTTACACTTACAGAAATATTACTATTGGATGTAATTTATAAAATTTGAAAATGTTATTAGAAGTATTCTACCTCTAAATAAGTTACAAAAAATGTATTTTAACATTTTATATATTTGTTTCATATATTTTCCAATTTTTTTTTAAATAAGCCGGTGATTTAACTATAAGTTGTGTAATTTATTGTATTTATTTATTGTATTTAAATTTAAAATAATTAAGCATGTAAAATTCTTTAACACCTATTGTAATAGTCGGGTGACTTACCATGGACTCGAAACCAGGAGCTGACTTTTCCGGGAGTTTACTACTATGGCTATGTGGTTTCCATCTCCTTGTCCGGCTATCTGGCAGATCGGTGCAGTAGCAAGGTGTTGTTCATCGTGTCGCTGATCTTTGAGGCAGTGGCCTACGTTCTGCTCCCAGCGATGGCCCATTTCAGCTTCGAAGCAGCGGTTGTTGATCTGGTCATTTGCGGCTTGCTAGCGGTGAGAAGAAGCAAAGATCAGATGGTTTAAACTCTACTAAAGTTGTTTCTAATTTTTCACAGGGCTGCGGAAATCCGGCGATGTACAAACTTTTTGTCACCTGGGCTCATCCCACCGAGCGAACGGCGCTCCTGTCCTTCGCCTATAGTGGACTTCTAATGGGCTCCATGTTGGTTTACCCGGTGGCCAGTTACCTGAGCAACTTTGGCTGGGAGCTGTCCTTCTATGTCGTCGGTGGGGTTACGTTTTTCTTTGGTATCGCTTGCTGCTTTCTCATATACGACACTATGGAGCAGCATCCTCGCATCTCGGATGAGGAGGTGGATTACCTGCTGCTAGGAAGGAGTGATTTAGGGATTCGAGAACAGCAGGTGAGGGGGGACTATAAAAATATTTAAAGCCTCTTTAGAATTTTAAGCTGCTTTTATCTTTCCTTGTAGGTAGTGAGGGTTCCCTGGAAGAGACTGTTGACTGCTTCGCCCGCATATGCCTTCGTCCTGACCCACGTCTTTCATACCTACACCTTCCTGGTGATAGTTCTTCTGATGCCCCGATTTATGCGCGAGGCCATGCAGTTCGATCTGCGGGAGGTGGGCTTCCTCTCGGCGGCTCCGTATCTGGGCGGGATCTGTTCCAAAGCCCTGTGCATCCTGGGTGGCAGCTACGTTGAACGACGCGTGGGTCCTGATCAGAACTTTATGCGAAGAATGCTGTACAGGATCTGTAAGATTCACTGGATATCAGGGGAATCATAGAAATTTTCTAGAGGTTTAAAATTTAATTTGAGATCTATATTGAACCCAGGAGAACCTCTAGAGATTTCCGCGGTACCCCTGTACACATCTTTTTATATATTATATCATTACTTTATAACAGGCAGCATTCTGACATCGTGCTTTATTGGAATCATCATCATGGCTGATTGTGGCGACAAAATAATGGTCCTTTTGATGTTTGCCTTCATGATGGCCTCCACGGATATGGGTTTCAGTGGCTACTGGCCCACGCTGCTCTACTTTGCACCCTCTTTCGCAGGATTACTCTCAGGATTGGCCAATGGAATGGCCCATCTCTCCGGTTTCCTGGCGCCTCATCTCGTTGCCGCCTTGGTGCACACCGTAAGATCTGGTAAATTAATAATTAAATTTATAATTCAACGGTTTGTATACCTCGTAGGGCAGCAAAAGTGAGTGGAATGTGGTGATGATCACGCTGATTGCCTTTAATACGATGGCCATGTTGGTATTTGGATTCTGCAGTAGTACCAACTTGCAGCCATGGGATCCTCGCAGCGAAAAGGGGAAAACTAGGCCTAAGCCAGCAAAAGCAGTAAATAGTTAGCATTATGATTTTATACCTATGTTTTATTTGTTTTTACTTTTCTGTATTTTAACTCTGTGCCTTTCGAATAAATTTTTCTTTAGAAAAGATTACGATTAAACGTTTCCTAACTAGATTTTTGGTTAAAGTAAAAACAAATTGTTTTTTTATACTAAAAACTAATAAAAATAATGATATAATTTATAAATACATATTCAATTTTGAAAAAACCGCCATGATGGAACATCCCTAATGTAAGCTCATCTTGAATATTTATCGATATTTTTAAGGTGCAGACCAAAGCAGTCCAACAATTAATTTTTAAACAGACACTTTCGGATTTTAATGTCAACTATTCATAAATATTAAATTTGACAAAAATATGCGTTAAATCAAACACTTATTGGTGGTCGAAAGTGTATCGATTAGCTGCCATGCGATCAATCACTTGAAAGTCTATCGATAGCTGTGTGCTTTAACGAATATTTTTGGCGGTCTCGATTTGGGTTCGAGTCGCGGATAAAAAGTTAGCTGGGGCAAAAACCGTAAATTGAACAATTTTAAAGGTTTATTTTTTAAATTGAAATAGTAAAGGCTATTTTGAAGCTCTGGAAGCTGAATATTTTTGGGCTAATTCTCCTTCGAGAAAGAAGAACATCGATAGACAACTATCGATGCATCGATAGTGTCATCGATGTTTCTCCGCCTCTACCCCACTTGCTTTATTAATCATTTCAATTTTTCAATTCGTTTGCTTGACGTTCACGGACGTGTATCCGCACACAGCTCATACTCGAATACATTTCGCAATAGATATATCAAAATTCTCCGTGTGGGTTCTATCTGGATTGGATGCAACATTAAATTACCAGTGTTTTTCCCGATTTTCTAACGACGCAAAATTCTCAGTGCAAGACAAAAACCGAACGCCTTATTGACAACATAAGAAATTCACCATCATCGATAATAACAACAAGTCGACCGGAGGAAGTGGCTCCAAGCAACCAAGTGGAAATCATCGGACAAGCTTCTCGACGGGATTGGAAGTGAGTAGAACGATCGGATCGAAGGGATCGTATCGGGTACAAAATCATCTCGAAAATTAAATAATCCCACACGCCGACGCGGGGAAAGGCGGAAGTCAGAGAACTTGGCTTCCTGGTTTTTCATTTGCCTTTTGGCGCTTCCGCCAAAACACTTAAACGCTCACTTAAAACCGCTTCTTGACAAATCAATAAAGGCCAACTGTCGGATCGGGCATTAACTTGGGGTCCCCGTACTTACACTTGAGAAAACTGTATATCATATCATAAATTTTACAGTTTTCTCATTATTTAGGGAGCATTTAAATACAAAATATACAGTATTTTCAAATAATTTCAATTTTATTTTATAACATTTAAAATTATTTACTTTCATAAACCATATGAAAACTACGGATCTTGATTAGCAAATAAAATCGTCTATTTTTATTTTAACTTCATTTAAACCATACTCATTTATATTAAATATTTTTTAAAAAGGGTTCAAATATGTAGCTAGAGTTGGGAAAAATTTGTACCTCAGCTTATTTTTCAATTTTTTTTGCAGTGTACGTGTGCGTAGGCTAGACTCCAAGTACACGAACCCAAAGAATATTAATGTTTAAACTTTAAACACTTGTTACCTTGAATAATACGCGGTGTTGTATTATCATTGCCGTTGCTGTATTTGTTTTTTTTTATTTTGGGTTGAGGGAGGTTCATTCAATCGGGCACACCAACACCAGTGCACTTGAAAAGCCCAACTGTGTGTTTGTGTGATTGTTTACCTCCTTTGTGTTTTATGCATATTTACTTAATGCATGCATGAATTTCGTCGAGTCCACCGTGCAAATACATTTTAATTTTCGCAATTTCGCTTAAAATATGGCCGCTTAACTTAACTTCTACTTGCAATTCGATGAGCTGTGCTTGTGCGCGGGTGTGTGTGAGGCGGCACGTACACCAACAAGAGGCCAGAGTTGCCAGCCAATTTTCTTTTGTATTGCAAGTGTTTTGTTTTGCTGATAAATACCAGCTGATTTCTATAAATAATTAAGTAAACAAGTCGACAAAAGCAAAAAATTCCACTTATTGATAGTGCGATAAGACTCGCAAAAGCCAATAAAAACCTAAAATCGACTGTTATAAAATCTAAGGTCCAACAAACACCCACACAAACTTGAAGAAAACAGTAAACAAATCGCAGCACAGTCGAGGGAGATTTACTAGGTACTCCTAAACCTTAAATTAAAAATGTATCTTAAAAAAAGGTATTGAAGATCTTAAATAAATCCATTTAAATTTGGCTACACAAAAAACATAAATCCACTAGCACAGCCACGGCCAACTTGATAGTTACAACCATGAACCCCTAGTTTTGACCGATGACGATCGTCGCCTTTGGCTAATTGCGTTTTTGCATAAATTTCCACTTTTGACATTCGTGTCATTTCACACGTTTGCTTGTTTTTAACTGATAACGGCATTTCTATACGCCATAAAATGTTTAACGGGGCTAGAAGTGATACGAGTAATAAAATCGGCATAATAAATAAGTGAAGTATAAAGCATATAATATACAAGTGTGTCCACTTATTTGGGGCTCTTTTCGCTCTTGCACTAAAAGCTGAGTCATTTTGTTTTCAAATTTTTGTGTGCCGCGGCCACAACGCAAAAAATAGACACCGCTCGCGCATAAACAAAAAATCGTTGCGCAAAAAGAAAAGAGAAAATGTTCGCTTATTTATAAAAACAAATAGGTATTAGTGTAATACTACTTTACCTGTATAGGTGCGATTTTTGTTTTGTTTATCTCGTAAGATTGACGGAAAACCGGTTTTTTAGAACAAAAACAAAACTGGTCGGCTTCTTGCCGGTCAAATGCGATTATATATTCAAATACAGAAAAGCTTGCCTAAGTCAATCTGAGCAATAATAAAATGCCAGTTTCACAAATATTTAATTAACATATTTTGTAATGCTAATTATCTGTTTTGCTATCATTACGAAACTTCAATATAATAGTAGGCATTGAAAAAATCTTCATAAACTCCCAAGATCTCTAAAACTCCTGAGATTATGTGGTAATTGAAGGTTTTTCAATCTACTTATAAATCAATCGAATGCTTTATCCTTAGACATTTCCGTGGCACCGCTGAATAAGCTGGTATTCGCTTTTTTGAGTATATTTTCTTTATAAGCCTAATTGTGCCGATTTTGAGCTAATAAGATAGATGTACCTATAAGACCGTTTGGCTAACAAGTTGGCACAAAGTAATCCGAATCTTATCTCCTTGCAGCAAATATCATGTTGTTAAAAGTGCCATCTGTGGACTGGACGGATCAAATAATTTACGTTGTGGAAGACGACGACTCGCTGTCAGACATCGACGATGAGCCAGATTTCTCCGAATACATGTGGATGGAGAACGAGGAGGAGTTTGACAAGAACGTAAGATTGATCAAGCTGAAAAAACCTGGGGAGATTAACTGACAAAGCAATCTAACTATCTGGTTATAGGAACTTCAACGCCTGGAGGAGGAGGAGATCATGCAGGAGTGTTTTGAAGCCATGATCGAGGACGAGCTGGAAGAACAGATCAATGAGTGGGAGAAGGCCAAGTGAGTAGTGACCATCTGGCCGCCATGAATTAAATTAAAATTAAATTAATTAATTAACAGAACGGACGAACAGAACACGGCGCTTTCTGCCCTGCCCAAAAGCCAATGTAATGTGGAACAGTCGGTTCTGAATCCCATGGCCGATGAGTTCATACCGCGTAGTCATGTTCTGGATTTTCCCGCCTCATAAAGCCAACTCATTCCCTGCCCGCCACAGAATCACAAACCACCCCGAACCCATAACACGTGGACCTCATATGCGATTAACTGAATATCCTTTGCTAAGACTCGACTTACAAATTCCGCTAATGAGATTGAGATTGATATCCTGACCAAGTTGAGCAGCTAGAGCTTACGGAGGAGGTAGCTCGTAGTTATCTAATTTCTAGATACCGAAATGCTGGAAAAAACAACTAAAGATTCTAACAAACTCCAAATGCTGGCGACCGAAATGCAAACGAATCATATTTTTAAAAACCATTATAAAAAAAAACACAACACAAGATCACTGCAGAAATATAAAAAAAATGTTTAAAAGAAAAAATCAACAAAAACACAACTAAAAACTAAGAACCGACAAATAACAATTAACAACTATGCCGCGTACATCACAGTACATTGTAATTAGAGTTAAACACGAATTGTTTGCCGAAGAATTCGGAGCCCCAGAAATTCCGAACCCAAAATGTTACCGAGAAATGCAGACGCAGGCGCTTGCTGAAGCTAGTGAAAACTTTGGTATCAACGTACAAAACGAAAACAAATGACTTTTTACACGCGACAAACGGAGTCGCGACTTCTATCGACCTAGGAGTCAACCAACTAAAACAAAAACTACAACTAAACTATGCCAATTTCCAGCTAAAGCAACTGTAAGCAACAAACAAGACTCGATTGTGTTAGAAACAAACCAAGAAACGAACAGAATTTGTAGTTGTCATGTCGTTAAATTGAAATTCTATTCAAAGACTTTAATTGTAGTTTAAATTGTATTTAATTTAACGTCCCGCCCACTGTCTACACTCATTTTAAGTTGAACATTTTGTGGAATATATGTACGTGTTTACTAGTTTTTTTTAAAAATAATTTTGCACCATTGTTAACTCGTTGTACGTTCTAAGCCCAAGTTATGAGAAGCGCTTGTTAACTTCCCTTCTGACTCTCGCAATACTTGTAATTTACAATTGTAATTTAGTGTACTAAAACGAATTGAGATACTAATGTTTAACGCCTCTTTATACAAAAAGCCTGCATAAATATGTATATCTAGTGTTAATGGAAAAGATAACAGACAAAACCAATGCTGCAATAACAAATAGTTCTGTAATTTTAAGTGAAAAAGTTCTTTTGAAACGTTTGCCCTGGAGCAAATGCACAAGTCCCAAATCGATTTTGTTGATATCGTTAAAACTCGTTTCGGCATGTAGACAAAGATGAATTTCTATTTTTTCAATCAGCTTAGATTTAGTGACTTAAGACAGCATTAAAAGATCTACTACATTACTTACGTTACGTGTGATATAAAGATATAAAAAACCCAACAAAAAAAATATCAAAAAATGATTTTAAAAATCTCAATAAAAAGAAGTATTATTATAGCATAAAAATGTCATGTTTGGATTTTATTTCAAATATGATTGTAAAAGTGGTTTAAAATGGGGTTTATTGGATGGCATTTCTTCTTCTGAATATTAATTAAAAAATCAAAAGTGGAATGAATGATAAACAAAGTTTTATTAGTTTTGTCAAAATTTAATTTCCAAAAACATTTGGAACTTTTATTGAATGAAATTAAATTCATTAAATTATTAAATCAAATTTGTAAATGAAAAAATCATACTTTTTAAATATTTCATTACTGCGACAACACCCCTAATGCACTGCACTCTCGATAAATATCGATAGGTTCGCATATCCAAATACCGATACCAAAAATGGCGTCGTGATTTCCCAGTTGCCGTGAGAAAAGAAAATGCATGTTGTGCCCCCGCAAAGAAGCGAGTGAAATGTGAGATTAATTGGCGGCGAGCGAAGAGCCCAAGGCATGCAAAAGAAGCCCATCCCAACCAGGAATCCACACCGAAGTCTTGGCAAGCGGACATGGCGGCGGCGGCGACGGCAGCGCCAGCAACGTCCAGCGGGAATGCGAGTGGTGGTGCACCTGCTCCACTGCCTTCGACTGCCCCTGGCAGCGGCGGCGGCGGGGGAGGGGGCGCGTCAGGTGTTGGAGGAGCAGGTGCCCAGTTCCGGGAAATACACAAGAATACATGGCTCAAGCGGCTGACGGCGGATGGCAAACGGTTGACTGTGGGTCCCAAGGTGGGTGTACATATGGTTACCTATTATTCCTTGGCTACAAAATCTCTTTGTGTTCCACAGAAATCCGAGTGCAGCTGGGTGGTTTTCTGCGTCCACGACGACACGGACGCCCTGCTGGAGGGCTATGCGGAACCTCGTCAAGCAGCTGGACATCTGCCCGAGTGGGCCGTTTCTCTGCGGGAAACGCTCCACATCTCCCATGCCCTCATCCCCAATTCCCATGAGTTCGAGTTTGTGGTCACGCTCAGCCACGAGGTGTTGCGCTTCCATGCCGTCTCTTGGTAAAGTCTAAAAAAAAAAAGCTCCCCGCACGCAACACCAATTAACCAAGCTTACTTTCGCTTTTTTTCGCAGGGAGATTATGCAAGAGTGGGTGGAAACGCTGCGCTCCAAGCTGCGCGAAATGAAGATTCTGTCGCCGCGCGAAAACCTCTACACGAAGCTACCTGAAGTGCGCGCTCCATTGCTGCCCACAAGGGATCCCACATCGCCACTGCCTCCACCGCCTCCGGTTCCGGCTGCTCTGGTGCCCGGAGTGGAGCGCGTGGTGGCCGCCAATCATCAGGCTCAGTCAGCAGCGCCGCCTCCAGAGCAGCCCTCCAGTCCGGTAGCCACAACGCCAGCAGCTCCTGTTCCTGCCCCTGCACCTGCTCCTACTCCTGCTGCCATGTCCAACACTTTGACGCAGCACCTTCTCAACATGCTATCCGATCCCATCAGCACCTACAGCGAGCAGATCAGTGAGTCAGTAGAACCGGCTTCCAGTCAGGAGGAAGGAGGAGCAGTCGCAGAGGAGCAACCGTCCAGCAGCGATGCTGATCTGAATCTATCGGACGATGAATATCTGTCGCCGCTGCTGCGCAAGGCCTGTGTGCTCACCGAGAATGGCGTCCGCGTGGACGTGGTGGCAGCCACTGCACAGCGAGCTTCTGCCGGTAAGATTATTATTATTGGACCTCGGATTTTGCATCTTTGTCCATTTTTGGTCCGATTTTTATCAACATTTCTAGGTAGGTGTCATATTTTTCAAATGTAATAAATTCGGATGCATATCGGAAATATGCAAAATTAAATAGGGTTTCCTTAAATTTGGGAAAAAATTAGATATCTCAGAAATGACGAAAAGGAACAAACAATTTTCTTCGGGTAAATTAGGTTGGCTATTAAATGGTCAATCTTGAATAGTTGATTTTATTTTATACTTTGCATATATTTATATATATATTTTATGCATATGCATTTTATGCAAAAAAAAAATATGCCATTAATTTTAAACTATGTGTATTTTTACTGAAACGAACTTTGGAGTTTTCGGAATTAATCTATCTTTGTCCTATAAAAGAGAGCAAATATGCAAAATCCGAAGTCTAATTATTATAATAAAAGCTGCAGTATAATTATAAAATATATTTTTACAATTACAGATCAAATCCTGAACTTGGAGCACATGCTGCAATGCGAACGGCTGATTCCCAGGTGAGCTTCTACAACATGCCGTTCATTTGGTCGTAGCTCTGCTGCAGAAACATGACGACTGCCTTCTTGGTGTTTGATTTGCCCTCAAAGGTGGCGAGGAACAGTCTGCGCAGAACGCTCAAATAGCGCATGGCATTGAGGGTCAGCTCCTGACCCTGAGCATCCAGTTTCATGGCCATCACACTTTTGTATCTCTTGCTCACCTTGGAACGCAACTTGTCGTACCTTTGGCTAGCCTGCTGCAGCAAAGGAGCATTCTGCTGCCGCTGGTGGTGATCCATGTGCGCCTGCAGCAAGGCCTTGAAATGCTCATTAAAATGTTTCACCTGCTGATAGTCGGATTCTTCCTCGCAGAGAACACTGTACAGGGTATCGAAGAACAGCGCAGGATCTTGTCCAGTGCAAAGTTGCTTTAAAGCGTACGTCGATGAGCAGGCGAAAATACGCTTCAGGTAGCGATTCTCCTTGTCGAGCATGTAAATCTGCTCACTTAGCATTTGGATGGCTTTCTCGCCCTTATCCCGCTTTATCTGCAATTTTTCAATCGTACTTTGAAGCTCTTGCAACTCCTTGGAAAGCACTGTATTTTCTTCAACCAATCTGAGATTGGCCTCCTCTAGATTCTCACACGAACTGAAAGAGGACAATTCCTCCTCCTCCAAGGTCTCATTAGATATGCACTCTGCATCATCTACATCGATTTGGTCCATCTTCAAGGTCTTCTGGTGGAGAGTGCGCAAATCCATCTGGAAACTATCTGCACTCGTAAATGGAGAACCCAAAGAGCATCGTTCATTTAGTTGCTTGTGGAGGAGCAGAAGCATATAGTTTCGGGAAAACCTTTCCTTCGGCGTCGCCTGCTGGAATATATTGAGCCACCTTGTGCAGGTGGGCGCAATCTGATCTTTGGCCGGCAGTCGACCAACCAGTTTCACCACACTTGCCACCTCCTCCACAAAAAGATCGTCCAGCTTTTCTTCGGTCAACGAAAACCTTTTGGCCATGTCTCATAAAATTGTATACAGTTTTGTATATCAAAAGGACTTGCTTTTTTTGAAGCAGACTACTAAGCCTATTTCTTCATTAATTAAATGAAATCCTTACCTTCATTTCAGACCACAAACATCACGATCCATGTCCGCTGGTGCGGCTGACAAATCAAAGCGGCCGCCACGTAAACCTCTCCAATCGCAATCTTCCAGCGTCGCCGCTGCTGCCAACAGCGAGGATTCTCAGGACAATATTACAATCATCCAGGTGTCGAACATCAGCAACAATGGCCAGGAAAAGCCGCCCGAACTGCCGCCCAAGAACGCCACCGCAGCCGAGGTGTTTCGTTTTCCAGAGGTGAAGACCAAGCAGCAGCCATCTCAGCCCCATCACGAGTATAAAAGCAATGTACAAATCATTCCGTCCAATACCAGTAGCAGTACCAGTACCATCCAAGTCCTGGGCAAACAGCCCAGCATCAGTAATCCCTATACAACGCCAGTAAGGCAAAGCAATAGCGCCAGTTCGCAGGTTTCCGGCACCACGAAAGTAAAGGTGCTGGGTGACGGCGAGGTAGCTGTCTACGGCACCTGCTACCCGGCGCCCGGTGGCAGTCCCACCACCTCCTCCTCCACCGCCTCCTCGTCTAGCAATCCTGCCAAGCCGCAGACACCGAGATTAAGTAAGAAAATAATACTCAGTGCCAACACCTCGGGCATAACGAACATCAGTGTGAATAGTGAGCAGGGCAGTGACTCGATAATCAGTGGAAATGTCCACTACGAAAAGGTCTTCCTCTCCTCGAGCATTCCCATAACCAGCAGAAGTAGTCCGACGAGAGCGGCAAGCAATAATCCCATCCAACCGGTGGTCAACGGAAGTCCAGCTTTGCCACGCCGCCGGTTGGCTTCGCCAGTAGCCCCCAGTGCAGCAGTTAGACCCACGCCGCAGCTAACACGAGGACTTACGGAACTGGTGATTAGTTCGCGGCCCAGTAGAAGGGATTTCCACTACCTGAAACTGCTAAACACTCCACTGAAAACTAAGACATCCAATAAATCAACGAGCGCCGCGAATAACAACATCGAACAGCAACCGCAACAGTCCACGCCTTCCAGTTCAACGAGTAACCAGACCCAAGGAACTGCAGGACAAAGGAACAGCACTGGTGACAGCCAAGAGCAGCGCCGGCGCAGCTCGTCCACCTCGGATGCTCAGGCGCCTCTTCAGCGGATTTCACAGCCGGTGACGCAACGAAACGCTAACAACAACGAGTTTACGCCATCCCGAAACGGAGCTTTTCGCATGCAGCCACCGCCGCAGGGAGCACCGCCGTCCAGCACTAATCCCGCCCAGCAGCAGTCGCCCAACAAGCGATTAACTCTGAGGGAACAGCAGGTGATGCAGCTGCGGCGCGAGATAATGCATCCAGGTGGAGTGCGACTGAATCTGCGGCGCAAGGATTGCGTTGGATCCATCGCCTGGGTGGATGCCTTCGGCGGAGTTTGGTAAGTTTAGCACAACTCGGAATCATCGTCAGTGTGATTGTATGTAGTCTAATCATAAGTTTGAATTTTTCAACTATTTGTAATATTTACTAACGAATTTTATTCACAGGATTGCGGGTTGGAAGCAAAAGGAGCATCCAGTGCTATACAATGCCCTTCACATCGGAGATCAGCTACTCTCCATAGCAGGCGTGAACATCAGCAGTGCTGCGGAGGCGAATAAAATAATCAGGAACACCAACACGCTATTTGTAAGATCTTTAAAAAGAAAATAGTGTATTTCCCTACATTCAAAAAATTAATCGCCCTAAATTATAGAAATTTGCTTCACTGGCGATTTTTTTCTTAAAATAAAAAAAATTTTATACTGGTAAAGAAAATGTTTTTCAAATTAATGAAAATTTGTTAAATATAAGAACATTTCATGAAATATAGAAAAAAATCGCCAGTGAAGCAAATTTCTATAATTCAGGGCGAATCATTTTTTGAGTCTATGCATAATTATTTATTTCATTTTAAAATATGCTTTCAATCTTTTGCAAATATAATTAGATATTTTCTTTTTCAAATACTAATATTTAATTTGCTAATATTCCAATTCCTTGATTTCAAGGTTGAGGTCTTGCTTCGACGCATTCCTTTTGGCCGGGCCTATGCCATTCGACGTGACCGCGAGGGTCAATGTTTGGGACTGATTCGGGATGGAAACACTTCGACAATCGTGGATGTTGTGCCAAACAGCTTGGCCGCACGACACGGCCTGCCACCCAAGGTAGGCGATTAATAATTATTTTAGCCTAATAAATACTAATAATTAAATCCATTTCAGACGCAATCGTGCGATGGCAGCTCACTAACCTTCTGGATGCTGACCGAGATCAATGGGCGTTCACTGAATCTGTTCTTCAAGGATTTGGAGATACGCGATCGGCTGAACTCGGTGGGCCGGGATATATCCATTTTGGTGCAACCGTCGGATTTAATAACCAAGCTAAAGAAGCAGCTAAAGTCCCTGCGCGGCTACAAGGATTACTTAGTGCAGTAGTCCCCGGCAATAACGATCGATTCCATATAACCACACATAACTCGTAACTGTAATATGTTGCTATACGCGAAGTAATTTCGAATAGCTCTCGGCCAGTAATCATTCCATTTTCGCGTATACGTCAATGAACGGATCCCCTATATAGTCAACTAGAACTGGTAGAAACATTTCGCTATATTACGTACTACACACTTCACTTACTATGATCGAAACTACTTAAAGGACTTAGGAGTAGCGTTGAGGAACATATACAAAAACAACCTATATATTTTTGCAAAATTTTATATCAACTCATATATATACAAATTGAACATATATATATATACACCATAATGTATAGCAGACACTTTGAAGGGTTACCAAATTTACACCTCGAATTTGTTTAGATGCGGAAAAGTTATAAGAAATTTACAACACGAAATTCAAGTATTTTAGGTTAACATATACACGCGTATCACACACACACCTGTGCAACTTAGTATCCTTATGCAATATTGGAGTGCCTCTGATTTTGTTCATTGATGTTGTTTTCTTTCATGTTTCCGTTTGTTTCGTGCGAAAAGACAAAAGCATCTGTCGTAACTTTTAAGATGTGATAAAAATGAGTACTCAAATTTAGGCAATTTTTAACGGTACATGTAAATGCTTTTTGATTTATTTTATATTTAAGTTTCAGTGGGTAATTTCGATAAACACATATATTATTATTATTACTGATGTAACGACCTTGCGAAACATTTATTAAAGCAATTCCACACAAATCACTCGCAAACTGTTCCCCTCTTGGCCAGCGATGCCTTTTGCTTCCAGATTTTAAAGTTGTACTTCTCCTTGTCCAGCGTCGAATAGACAAAGATGGGCATGGAGTTGGACATGACCCAAATGGTGCCCTCCTCGTCAATCTATGCAGATAAGAAACTTAGAGTTATTCTTTTAAAACCAGAACTTATTAATCTTACCGTCAAGTCGCTGGGGTAAATCATTTCCGTAGCATTGGAGTAAACAGATCCATGGTTTTCAATTGAGAACGGCTTGCTGGTCTTCCAGCAACCCACTCCGCTTCTCTGGACCTCGGCGAAGAAGATTACTCCGGTGCACGGATCGTATTTGTGCATCGTGGACTGTGTGGATGGTCCGCGGGTTCCTAGGAGCCGGAAATCACTGCCGTGATCGGAGCGTGCTGCATTGGACTCCTGCTGAAGGACCCGATTGGATACCACAAACTCATTCGTGCTGGCCATGGCGTGAAAGTAGACATCCCGACTGCCATCCGGTTGATGGGGTCCCAAAGTAGTCGAGAAAATGCCATCATCCCAGCGGAAGGTCTGCCCGCCAATGTTCAGATCATCGGAAAGCGGATCAAAGTTAAAAGCGGTGTGGTTGAAGGACCAAATTCTATCGGTTCGCAGGTGATAAACGTGCAACTGGCGATTGACTAGATCCGGTAAATAGGCGTAGGCATCACCGCACTTCCGCGCATCCACATCGATGGTGATGCTGGCTAGTCCACGTCCAACCTCCACTATGTTCAGTGGAATCTCGAAGCGCTTTCGCACTCGATCGGTGGCCAGGTCAACGACCCAAATGCTGGGACGCCGGATTTGCTGGCGGTTATCTTAAGTGTAGAATTTTAAATTCATTTATAGTGTCACATTATATACTATAATCATTTTAAACTCACTGGGATACTCCAGCATCCCGGTGTCGACGAACCAAAGGCGCTGGCAGGCATCTACTGAGGTCCTGTAGACGGAAACCAGATTTTCCGCACTCCTATTGAACTGATTCAACTCAAAGTTGGGATAGGCCCGAAGATTGGGACTCTGGCTCCAACCATCCTTGGCCAGATCGATGTAGTTTAAGGTGGACGGGATGCCCGTCGTGTGTCGTTATAAAGAGGCGTCCTCGGAAGTGAGTTACACCCTGGGGCACATTGTTGTATTGGATAAAGGATCCATTTAGATTGGCAGCGGAACCAGAAGCACCCAAACATGTACGGGAATTGTACACATGCGGATCTTGAAGAAAAGGTTAAGATATTTATTATTTTTTTTTAATTATTCATAAAGTTCTTAGTAAATATTTGGATCATTTTTTATAATTAGTCTAACACTAACTTTAAAATAATTTTGATACATATATATTTTTGTAAAATAAATTTTAAAAAAATTTTATTACACATTTAAAATGTATTTATTTGAAAAACACCATGATTCACATAATTTATTATTTTTGATGACGTAATGGAATATTACAATTAAAATAATACAAGTGCTAAGTGTAATATAATTAATTGATATAAGATTTACCTGGTATGCAGAGCCTGCTCCACAAGTCCTTATATCCATCCCCGCGATTGTAAAAGTCCATTTGTTTCCATCTGAAGACCTCTATCATGGGATCACCATCTGCATAGGCTAGCAATTGCAGCCCAGCGATTGTGCAGAGGAGCAAAATTCGCGGTGATAACATTTATAAATGTGGTTTACTTGAGAAACTGAATTAAAATCCGGTCGTTCGCCTTTCCAGGCTGAAATATCACTTGCGACTGGTGCTTAACTTGTGTTCTACTGAGTTATACGTGCCTTGCGGCTCAGAAGTAAATAAAATAATTGATAAGAGAAGAATCTCATTCAGTTCTCAAGCTGTTGTTTTGCATCTCTTTATTTCTCGACGCTTTCTACATCTACATTTTGTATTATTTAAGTGTAGTATTTATTTAAGATGTTCTTGAAAACGATTCTCAATTTTTGGGATGCAATACAATTAATTTAAAATTTAATTATTTTGGCAAATTTCTTAAAAAAACAATTCCACACAAATCACTGACAAACTGTTCCCTTTTTGGCCAGCGATGCCTTTTGCTTCCAAATCCGGAAATTGTATATATTCGTGTCCAAAGTGGAATAGATAAAGATGGGCATGGAGTTGGACATGACCCAAACGGTTCCCTCCTCGTCAATCTGTAAAATTAACAATAAATAAAATATTAATATAAATTAATTCTACTATATTATATTATTTATCTATTGCTCACCGACAAGTCGCTGGGATAAATCATGTCCATGGCATTAGAATCTACACTACCATAGTTTTCCGCCGAGATTGGCTTGGTGGGTTTCCAGCATCCCACTCCATTTTTCTGGATCTCGGCGAAGAAAATCACTCCGGTTCCGGGATCATAACTATGCATAGTCGATTGGGTAGATGGTCCACGGCTTCCCAGTACCCGGAAATCATTCCCATGATCGGAGCGTGCTGCATTGGACTCCTGCTGGAGAACTCGGTTGGAAACCACAAATTCATTTGTGCTGGCCATGGGATGGAAGTAGACATCCCGGCTGCCATCTGACTTGTGTGCTCCCAAGGTGACCGAGAAGATGCCGTCATCCCAGCGGAAGGTCTGCCCGCCAATGCTCAGATCCCCGGAGAGCGGATCGAAGTTGAAGTAGTTATGCTCGAAGGACCACATCCGATCGTTTCGCAGGTGATAGACGTACAGTCGGCGGTAAACCAGATCCGGAATATAAGCGTAGGCATCGCCGCACTGACCCGCTTTCACATCGACGGTGATGCTGGCCAATCCACGACCCGTCTCCGCAATGCTCAGCGGAATATCAAAGCGTTTCAGCACCCGATCCGTGGCCAGGTCAACTACCCAAATGCTGGGACGACGAATCTGTTGGCGGTTATCTAAAAAAAAATATTTAAAAATATTTTAAAAACTGTGCGAACTGAAGTGCAAAAACCGCCTAACAAAAATATGAAAAATTTTAAATATTCCCAATTACATTTTTTTAGAGTTCTTGGTCCCCAAAATAAGAAGGCTGGACCTGACCTTGCTACTGATAAGGCACAAGCTACAAACAAACCATGAAACCCTAAAAATAAACTAATCTTTCCTTACACAATCTGATTCAAAAATCGCTAGCGACAGCCCTATGGAAATTCGAAAAGAATAATACAATTTGAGTGTAGTAAACTCACTTGGGAGCTCGAGCATTCCAGTGTCGATGAACCACAGGCGTTGGCAGGCATCCACTGAGGTCCTGTAGACAGAGACCAGATTTTCCGCACTCGCATTATACTGATTCAACGCAAAGTTGGGATAGGCCCGCAGCTTTGGGCTTGGATTCGATCCCTCCTGACCCATATCGATGTAGTTCAAGGTGGACGGGATGCCCAACCGTCGCCGGGGCATCGTGACAAAGAGTCGCCCCCGGAAATGGGTGGCTCCCATGGGCACGTTGTTGTACGGAATGTAGGAGGCATTGGGGTCATCACTGGCGACTCTGCTGTTTATGAGTATTGGAGAATCGCGGGAGGTCATAATCTCACGCTTCTGGCGAGAATATCTCCCAGGAAAGACAACGGGGGCTGGTTAAATAGAGAATACATTTATTATAGGAAAACAAGTTAAGTTTTAAATAATTAAATTGCCAATAATTTAAATTAAATGTTTTAACTTTTATTTAATGTGTTAGTACTCGTAGTAACAAATTTACTACGGAGCTGATACATTAATTATAAGCTTAGGGTATATTAAATTTAGAAATTTAGAAAGTATATATTTTTTAGATATTCACCTGAGTAACTCGGTCTGTCTGGTCTGGCGCCCAATCCCGCCGAATGGCCATCTCCTCGGTTATAAAAGTCCATCTGCTTCCATCTGAAGACCTCTATCATGGGATCGCCATCTGCCAAGGAAAGTATTCCTGAGATTAGGCAGAGAATCAGAAATTGTGGCGATAACATTGCTTAGTGATTGCTTGGAGAACCCAATCAAGTTCGCCTTTCCAAGCTGAGACTTCAATAGCGACTGAAAGCCAATATTTTCTCATCTGAAATCTACACTCTGTGGCTCGAAAGTTGAATATTACAATTGATAAGAGACTCTCACGAGTTCTCAAACCGGTTCTATGCCTTGTTAGCTTGATAATATTGCCAATACTAATCGGCAATAAAAATCAAATTATTTACATACTTATTAGTCGCACGGGAGAAATATGATTAATTTAAAAATTAAGTTACTTTTTGTATTTTTTTATAATCTAATTATGGTTTTTTTATTTAAAGCTTTTCAATCAATTAGGCATTCAACACATGGTTCCAAAAACAAAATAATTTTTATTCAATGAAAGTAAGTCTACAACAAGTGCAAAATTATGAAGAACGGGACTGTTGACATGATTTGTAATGTTCGTATTTACATTCATTTCATATTCATTGCCATTGCTCGTGAAACAAGGTAAACAAAAGGGGAATCTTGAAACATAACTACACTGCAATGCAAACAAAACACAAAATAAAATAATTACAAATTTTGTGAATAAACTTATTTGGATACTTTTCCTAAAAGCTGTTTTTGAGTTAAATTTATATATTTGTATTGAAATAAAATTCTGATTAAAATTTAAGTTAAGGTTTTTTATTCATTTAATATTCATTTGAAGCACTAATAACTTTTAAACTTTCGAAAAGCTAAATCAAAAAGTAAAGCCTATAACTTGGCGCCAAACCATTTGAAAGCAACGAGTGAAAATCGATTGCTCATGGTAAATCGATTACTTAATCGGTATCGATGTCAGCTGAGCCGTTGTGTAAAGTAAATAGTAAAGTAAATAATTTTAATGAAATAAAATGCGGTATAATTTGTTTGCCAGTGCCATAAAATTGCTAAATAGCTCGAAAAACCACAACTTATTGGTGGTAAACGTGCGCAGCCTGACGGGCGCCGCCCAGACCAATGATGCAGTGGCTCCAACCGCACGACCACCGCCCGCGGAGTCCGGTAATCCCGGAGAGGAACAGCGATCGCTGCATATCGCCGTAATTGGAGTGCCCAATGTGGGCAAGAGCACGTTCATTAACAACACGGTCAACCACCGCGTGTGTCCCACCTCGGCCAAGGTGCACACCACCCGCCAGTCGAGCACGGCCATCTGCACCACCGGCCAGACGCAGTTGGTCTTCTACGACACGCCCGGCTTGGTCACCCAGCACGAGATTCGGCGGCATCACCTGGACCAGAGCTTCAAGAGCGCCTATCGCCATGCCATTCAGCATGCCGACATCATTGCCGTGGTCCACGATGCCTCGAATGGCTGGACGCGGAAGGAACTGCATCCCACTGTGCTGGACACTCTAAAAGCCTATAGCAACCTGCCCAGCTTTTTGGTGCTCAACAAGATAGACGCCCTCAAGTCGAAGCGCCTGCTGCTGGATCTGATCAAGACGCTCACCAACGACACACTTACTGCGGGCAAGCGAGGAGGAGCAGCAGGCCAGGATGTCCAAACCAAGGAGCTAAGGCTCAACAAGAGGGAGACGAGTTGGAGCCACTTTAGCGATGTGTTCCTTGTGTCCGCCCTGACGGGCAATGGCCTGCCGGAGCTGCAGAACTACCTGTTAAGCCAGGCCAAGCCGAGGGTTTGGAAATACCCAGCCGACATCCGCACGGACACGACTCCCGAAGCTCAGATTGTGGAGAGCGTGCGGGCCCGCCTGCTGGACTACTTGCCGCAGGAGATTCCCTACAACCTCAAGTGCGAGCTGGAGTACTACAGTGTGGAGAAACGTAGGGATATATTTCAGAAACCGAGCTCCCTTCTAATCTCTAATTCCCCTTGCAGATGTGATCTACACCTCTGTTCAAGTTCAGTGCCCCACCACGCGAATCGAGCGTCTAATCTGCGGCGAGGCCAATGGAAAGCTGCGGCAGATCACGGAGAGGGTCACCTCGGACCTGGTGGAGATGTTCGGCCAGGCGGTGTCCCTTACCATATCCACCGTTTCCAAGGGCAAGAAGAGCGCCTCATAAACAGTTGTTAATTACTTGTACTTTATTTGTAACATTTGCATAAACCTAAGAGTTCACAAGAGTTTCAAGTGCGCCACCAGTTTGTCCAGATCCTCGGCGGGGGCAGGTCCCAATCCGAGCACCGTGGCCGTTCCGGATTCCAGTTGAGTGCGTCCAGCATCCCGCACCAAGGCGGCCACCACGTTGGCCTGCTGGGCCTGCCGTTCCAGGGAGCTCAGCTGCTCAAAGTTGTCCACGCGGAGAACGATCTTCGGTTGGCCAAGGCGGCACCATTCCTGCAGTATAACGTTTTGCAGTTTGGTTCCTTGCATTGAGCTCTGGTAGCACATGACCGCCGCATGGGCGCACTGGGCCGCCGTCTTGCCCTTGGACATCTTCAGGTCGGCACGGACCACCAGCGCCAGTTTGCTGGACTTGCCAAAGGCCAAACCGTTGCTGAGGAACTTCTGCAGGATGCTACTTGACGTGGGCATACTTCTGGCTCTGCTGCTCCACGTACTTCTGCATGCACGCCCGGAACTCCTTCACCTTGTCCTGGCAAGCCCTCCAGTCGCCCGTCTCGGCGATGCACTCCTGCACCTTGTAGTGGAGCTCTATGCAGCCGGTCTTCTTTAGCATCAGTTCCACGGGGTCCTGATCCGCTGCGGACATTTTCTCCTGCTCGCCGGCTGAAATCGCACCAGTTCGTTTCGAATTACGAAATTCGTGTAGGGTTGCCAACGAACCGAGGGAAAGTGCCGATTATTAGTGGGCGATATGTGTTCTTCAAACTTGTTCGACTTTTGTATACCCTTTCAAAGAGTTTACTAATTTTTATATTTCTTATATTTAAATCGTTACTCTTTAGAAGAAACGTGAATATTTCATTTCTGAAAAAAAGTTAACTACTGTTCGATTTCTTAGAAATTTCTAATATTATAAAAAAATAATTATTATTATAATAGGTCAACATTAAGGTTATTAAATTATATGAAATATTTTTAGTATTTATATTCTTTTTGTTAAAAGTTATACTTAAAAGCTATTCAGAAAAATACACCTTAACTATTTATGAGAGTGTTCCATAAATTTCGGCCAAGGCAGTACGATTCTTACCAATAAGCCAGTACATTCGAAGTAGGTAATCGCCTTCCGGAAAAGGAAGAACCTTAGTTAGTCGGTGATTAAGAATTTCGATTGGAAGCTTTTCCAGAATAACATCGTGCTTAAAAAATAATATGATTAATAGCAAAATGTTCATATACACATACTTACATTGAGAGGACATGAGTGGTTAATGTTCGAGTAGTTCGAGTGTGAGTCGTGAATAAATTTTATTACGGGGTTTGAATTACGATTTTTCAGGAATGAACAGACATCAAATGTTATATTATACATAAATGGCTTGTATCCATTATATCGTTTCCACAAAGCAAAGTTCACCTTAATGAATTAGATAAATTTTGATTATGATTAACGTTCTTTTACAAGCGCACTCACCCTAAGTTTATTTATTGGAAGTCGATGAGGTTTAAATTTTCCGGAAATATATTTGTAGGTACGGTTCACTGATTTCAGGAAGCAATATTCGAATTCGCCGAATGTTTTATCGAAAGATTCGCAGATGAAATTTGTAAACTCAAAATGTGATTCAATCTACATTTATTAACAACAATTTCAATTACATTATTATTTTGTTAAGTAGTTGTACCTTTATTCCATAAAGACGTACCTGAATGGCTAAAAAGGTGAATAAAAAAAATTGGACAAGAAAAACAAACTTAATATTCATCTTAAAGCCCGAGTTGTTAAACGAATACTGAAATGATTAGCACAAAAACCATTAAAGCGTAAAATTTCATTTCTATACAATTAAAAATATATTAAATAGTATTTAGCACTTCACAGTTTTGAGGTAATTTATCATATATAATTGTTGCTAGTGGAACATAGTTTAGATGACACACAAAGAAATTCGAAAGGTTTTTGTACTTTAAAGGTTTAAAGTTGTACAAAAGGATCAAGTCAATACTTCCATTAATTCAGATTATTTTGAAGAAGTTTTTGTGGGAATGTTACAACTTTATAAGCAACCTTTTTTGTGCAGATATACGTTATGTTCAATACACAATGTTTAATAAACAATCAATTTAATTAAATAAAATTTATACAAGTTTAAAATCGTAAGTAACGGCTATTTTCGGGCGGCAGTCTGGCAACGATGGTTATCCAGGATTTTCCCTCAGCTTTTGGCGCGCGATTTTCTAACAGCTCAATATCTTACCGTTCTTTGTATGTTTAAAAATTGTGGCCCTTTTCATAGTGAATAAAGCTCCACAGGCCCGGAAAACATATTGAAAAACAAATTTCCCTTAAAAGCAAGTGCAATGCAGTATGACCCTTGCACCGCGGCGTTTTTTCAATGCGTTATGGTGTACCGACGCGGGGGCACAACGGTCACACTGCTCCAATTGCAACGAGAAAACGAACGAATTGCAACGAGCAGGCGAAAAATCACAAAAAGCGGAAAATCACAACAATCGTGGGTGCAAACGGAACGGAAAACGAGCAGCGAGGCAACGCAAAGAGGAGCCCGGAAAATCGGATGGCACGGCAGTGAAAAGCGCAACAGCAGAGGCGCACTTGGCGCGTTTCGAGGGGCGAAGCGCGTTGCGTTCTTTTCCAAACCGATTTCGATTCCGAATCCAAAAACCAAACCAATCCAATCCCCACACTCGCACACACACACACACACACAGACACGCGCGCGCATACAGTGAACGAGTGAAAGTGCATCTACATCTGTGATTTCGTATATAATAATGCGTCGCGCATACGCGGATTTGGCCAGCAGAAGCACCAAAGACTAACAAGTGATCCGGATAAGGATACGGATCCGGGGATTGAGTTAGTTGGCCAGGGCTGGGCAGGGCTCCGCGTGAAACCCCCCCGTGAAATGGCCGATCAGGTGGCGCACACCAAAGAAACGGATGCGGAGGAGCCGCTGGTGAATGGCGAACTGCCATCGGAGGAGGAGGAGGCGACGCCGCTGCCGCCTCCCTGCTGCCATGTGATGTCCCTGTCCTCCATGGACGTGGATGCGGATGCGGATGCGGATCCGGACGTTGATGTGGATGCGGAAGCCACATCCTGCTCCACTTCCCAGTTGAATCCGTCGCCACCGCCTGCTGGTGTCCAACAGGCGAAGCCGGCGCGGAGCAGCTCACCGCCATGCCATCTCCTGGAGCGGCTCAACTTTCCCGAGGGCAACATCATCAACACGCTGCACACGATCCTCGCCCTGCCCCCCTTCGACCCCTATGCCCCCGCCCCCAAGGCGGAGACGGTCTACAAGGAGGTCGTGTCGCTGATGCAGTGGAGCCAGCGGGAGGACAACGCCATCGAGCTGGAGGTCAGCGACAAGCTGCTCCACGAGTGCGAGCACAAGGGCGGCGATCCCAACGACGAGACGCGGTCTTACTTGGTGGGTTAATCAGAAATAATTCCAATGGGGGAATTAGATAGTATTAATTGAGTATTATATAGGTCTAGGAAAAAAAAAAATATTATAATTAGTTATAAGGTGTACAAAGTTTGGCTTCTTCACATATAAAATATCCATAAATAATAAAGTATAGATTATAGGTATGAATATAGGTATGTTTTACTTTGTAGAACTGCTTAATTATATTTATTGGATCAATGTTGAATTATAATAATTATTTAGTGGGTTCAGAAAGGCGATAATAGAGGTTTAGGTAAATAGGAAAATGAGCTTATTGGATCGCAATAATGATAAATATTATATGGATATAGAAATTAACTAAATTTTAAAGTGGTATATCTTATTTTATATTCTATTCTGGGCTTCCCAAAAAAAACAGTACAAATATTCCTAAAGCATACAGAAAATAATCCTATTGGATCGTTTTTCAGTAATTCCTGTCTTCGTAATAATAATAAACGTAATGTCTAATAAACTAATTATTTTCAAATTTGTTTTGTTTTTAAATACCTAATAATTTGGTGTTTTTTACAGATGGCCATTGAGAACATGCGTCTCTTCTCCGAGGATCCAAAGAATCCGCTGCGTGACGCCGACGGACAGCTGCGTGCAATTACGGTGCGTTTGCCTGAAATAAACGAGCTCCATCATGAAACGTACTCCTAATCCATTGTAGCTATATTTCCAGAATCTTGCCTTCATATTTGTGAAACACCGGAAGGAGGAGTTCTTCACATTTTGTTCCTGCAAGGAATGTCTCGAATACCGCGAAACCATCATGGCCATCATGATGGATCAATTTAAGGCTGCGCACATGGTGGTCATGTTGCTGGACGTTTTGATCAAGGCCTACAGCCCCATGTTGAAGTAAGGATTGTCTTTAAAGCTCTTAGAATCTTAATGATATTTAAAATTGTATTTCACAGAAACGATGCTGCCTACAATAAGTTTGAGAAGCTGCTTGAGTGCAACAAGGAGATCTATTGGATTACTAGCGGCTATCTCTACGATAAGAATGCCGAATATCTTGATTTTATTGATGACACAGCGATCTCCGATAATATGATATTAGTGCTATTCAGCGCCATGTAAGTGGAAACTTTCTCTGTGCATTAAAACATTAACTTCAATATCTTTTGCCTTTTTAGCTTAATGGCCAACAATCCGATGTTGCTGCTACAAATACTCGCCTATAATGTGGAATGCATTGTGAAGGCATTCTCCGAGGGCATGATCGAGATTGCCCAGAATATTCAGGAGAACGAAAAGATTTCCGCAGAAAGGATGCTGACATGTAAGAGCAATATAATTTTGATATATGAAAAATTTTGTGGGTTTAAAATAGATATTTGAATAATGTCTGAAGATTGCTTTATCTAAACTAATATAAAATCCGACCTCTAAAAAACGGTCAGTAGCAAATTCCACCCAGAAATGATTGACATAAAAATCTAAAAAAATCACAGTAATTACTAAAATATTTAGGAGCCGCGTGTGAGGTACAAATTAGAACAAAAAAGACCCCAAAATTCGATTTGTTTTTTTTTAATGGTAACATAAAAATTTCTTTTTTAATTTTTTAAGGGGAAGGAATTTTGTATAAATGAAAATATTAAACTGTATTAAAATAAAAATAATAGTAGTACTTTCACATTGATTTAATGAATCTCTCTTCTTTTTGTTCCCACTTAGACATTCTGGACGGCTACTCCGATCTGAATTGTATCTCGCAGAAGATCTCGCTCAGCCTGTTTGCGTTCGAGAACGACTTTCTGCGCAAGTTCAAGCTCTCGTGGGTGCTCCTGTGCCAACGTCTGTTCCAGCAACATGTGTTCACGCCCCTGGGCGATACCATGCTGGCCTGCATCCTGTCGCTGAAGGAGGCCGCTCCATCGGCCCAGACGACGGCGCTAATCAAGCGGTACATGCTCTTCGACGAGCACATGCACTCCATCGAGCGGCGCTGGACGGACATCTGGATCGAGCTAAACAAGTTCAACTTGTCGCCCACGGAGCACGAGCGCCGGATGGGCCTGCTGGATGTGTACAACATATTCGACAAGGTCGTCCTGGACGCCACCTCCTTCTCGCTGCCGGACATCAGCGACGATGAGTTCATCGACTTCCAGCGCATCGTGGACCGCCAGCTGGCCTGGAAGAACATCATGGCCTTCACGAAGCTCAAGTGGCCCGACGGCTTCTACGATCCGCCCAATAAGCTGGTGCACGAGGATCTCTGCAAGAAGTGCAATTCGCTTCTCGAGCACCATAACGAGTGAGTAGCGGGTGGAAAATACAACAAATATGTATAAATGGATTAGAGCCCTGCATAAATGGATTCAATGAATTATTTGGAATTTTTTGTCTTATATGAATGAATTGAATAGATGAATGTCATAAATTTCGAAATATTTCAAACTAATATTTCTTTGAAAGAAGAAAGGCCCATCGTTTTGTAATTAAATCTGCCTTAATTTTGTTTACTAAGCAGTTAACATTGATTTGTTAAAAATTGTCCACTTTTTGTTCTCAAAAGCACAAAAAAAATGTGGAAAATTATCATCCAATTCAAAATGAATTAGAAAAACATTCAATTTATAATTCAATAGAATTGAATTAAACAAATCAGAAATTAATGCAATACTATGATACAACAAAAATTGAATGATACACGCAAGGCTCTAAAATAGATTACAAAATAAATTACAATGGATAGCTAAATATTATTTTGATTACTGCAATATTTACTTACTTATTTCTATACCTTCAGGAACTGTAAATGCATCACTTGCTCCATCGCCGGCACTCCTTTGCGACCGCGACAAGCGGGCCATTGTGCCAAGTGCACAACGCTCGGCATTGTCGAGAAGGACCCGAAGCTGATGAAGTCCAAGATCCTGAGCACCTGCACCAGTGACGAGGCTAAGCACAATGCGGCTATGGCGGCGGCGGCCACTTCGAGCTCCTCCGCCGCCCAGCAGCAGCGACGCACCAGCGATCTCCCGGAGGATGAGTCACCATCCGGAAGCGGCGGCAGCAGCAGCAGCAGTGGTTCGGTGTACCGGCGACAGGCGGAGACGACCGACACCCTGCGCACCACATATCACATCGCATGGGCGGTGTTCCAGCACCTGACCACCAGGAAGCGCTATCGCCACGAGTCGATCGAGGCGCAGTTCTTCTGTGGCGAGAACTGCCGGGTCTCCGCCTGCCAGCTGGCCAGAAAGATCCTGGCCAACCAGCTTTCGCCGCCGCTGACCAAGTATCTGCTGCGCTGCTTCCAGCCGCTGTCGTTCACGCGGGAGGAGCTGCGCTCCACGCTGCCCTCGCTGATGTTCTTCAACCGAAAGCTGGCTCCCAGTCCCGCCGAGTTGCAGGAGCTGAGGAACCAGCACTACGTGTACAAAACCTACTGGACCTTCGTCCTCTCCATTTACGCCAACTTCTTTGTGAAATTCAACTCGAGCAGCACGGACTTTGGTCACCTGGAACTGCTCAAGGGTGATCTTCGTCTGCGGCTGAACAGTGTGGTTGGCGACAAGGACGACGGCCGGTTCGAGCAGTTTTTGGCCCAGGTTATTGGGTAAGTACTTGTGGAAGTCTCTCCCAAAACGGTTGTCCCTTAAAACAATTCTGTTTATATTTCCTCAGGTACTCACCTTTCAAAATCACTGATGAGTAAGTATAACGATTAAAATCCACAAATGTACGATTTTCTAAAAACTAAACCCAATTTGCGAGGACTGCACTTTTATTACTGCTTTTCACTTTACATTGAGCAGATAAATAGGGTTGTCATATAACTTTAGTAAAGTAATATAATTAGAATACTCTTTCGTTTTTCTTTAAAATGAGTTCAGTGTTATTAAAACAAAATAGAGTGACTCGGCAATCCTGTAAATATCTATCGATTGTTGTCTAATTAAACCTTACCTCTCTGAAAATCCGGTAAAAAAACACATTAGAATAATCTGGACGATTTTTAATACAGCAGGCTTTTGTTTTGCACGACAGAAACTGACATTTGGAATATGGGACTCGAAAAGGCAGAACTTGAGTTGTACTGTTCCGAAATGGATAATATTTGTGATTCCCTTTGCAGTTTTACGCTGGGTGACGCCAACATAGAGAAGATGCAGTTCGGAGTGGATCAGCTAATGATGTTGCATGATTCTCAGATAATGTAAGTATTATAAAGAAATATATCCAAGGTTCTTAATTTTTGTAATGAAAGATTAATATGTAGATTATTATAACTAAAGATTTCCAAACTTATGAAATAAATCCTTTCAGAAAACGCACTAAACCGGACAGCACTACGGGCTTATCGGGTGCCAAATCCAAGGCCGGAGATTCGAATTTGTCGCAATCAGGAGGCAGAAATGGCGAAGCGGGAGGCAACAAGAAGAGCAAGGAAAAGATGCGCAAATGTGGGTACCAATAAACTAAATTTATCTGTGGACTATTAACATTTTATTAATTTTCCTACCTTCAGGCTGTGCCGACTACGCGGACATTGGTGAGCCCTGCAAGGAGAATCACTCAAAGAAACGCGTGAAGAAGGAGTGCAACCATGCGCGCTTTAACGAGACGCGTGACCGGCTGCGCAAAAAGCTCTCGCAGATTGTCAACGATCGAAAGACCAAGTCGACGGAGGAGGCGCCGCCATCTAAGACTAAGACCACAATGCCGGAGCCAGCTGCTGTGCCCGCGCCGGTAGCGATCCCACCGAAGCGGCCTCCGAAGGCCGAATCCCTTCCGCCGAACCAGCCACCCAGCTTGAAAGTGTTCGCCACCGCGCAGCTGCAGTCCTCCAGCAATCCGCGGAAGATGCCTCCGGCAGCCGCAGCAGCTGCAGCGGCGGCTCTCAACGAGTTTGGCCAGGACCAAGAGGAGCAGGACGGGGGCGACAATAGTCTGCTGCGCCTGGACAGCCTCTGCAAGAGGCTCCAGATGCACACAGATGCCACGGATGCCTCTGCTGCGGCCACGGCGGCCGAGGCTGCGGCGGCAGTGGCCGCTTTTAAACGCGGCGGCGGCTTTCCCGCCGACTACAGCAAGGAGGACATGATGCAGGACTTTGCCGAGTTCCTGGGCACTTATACATACACCCGGGAACAGGACCAACAGCGCTGGATAAACGAGACCCTCAATTTTATCGAGGGCAAGTCCCAGCAGCCGCAGACCGCCAACCCGAAGAAGGCGGCCAAGAAGGCCAAGCAGAAGATGCGCAAGGAGGAGGAGAAACGGATCAAGGAACTGGAGGATCTGCGCGGCCAGTTTCTGGACATTTACTTCAAGGAGTTCATCGACAAGTACGAAATGAAGGCTCTGACGGCTGCGGGCGGCAGGAAAAAGGAGAAGAAGCGCATCGGTGAGCTGGAGGCGAACATCAAGAACCTGCAGCGAGCGAAGGCCAAGGTGGAGACGGTGATCCTCGAGCTTATAGCCACCGTCAAGCAGACGAACAGCGAGTTCAAGTTCTCCTACCTGCCGACCAAGCAGCAGCAGCTGGCCAAGATGGCCCAGCTGGAGGAGATCCTCAATGGAGGCCCACCCGCTGTTAGACAGGAGACTCCTGCGCCACAACCTGCGCCGCAGTATCCCGATTTCAGCAGTGGCAGCAGCAACTCTTTCTATTCACCGCCCGGACAAAACACCCCCGTATGTTTTGCTCCTCCCCAGCAGTCGCAGCATCCGCCTCAACTCTCACGGGATGTGATTGCCGCCATGGCGGCCAACTCCATCACTGCCGATCCCTCCAAGCGCATTGTGACCATACGCCGGGTGCAGCTGCCCCATCCGGGAGCCGAGCAGCAGGTGACCGTGGTGGCCAAGGGCAGTGCTCCGCACGAGGACAAGCTGCTCTACACCTTTGTCAACGGTCACATGGTGGCTTCGGGTCCGGCGCAGCCGGAAGAAGCTCCTCCTCAGGCTGTAGCAGCTCCCAGTATTCCTGAGAAGAGCGCCAAGGCCAAGAAGAAAGAGGCTAAGCGAGCTGCAGCGGCAGCAGCGGCGGCGGCAGCAGAGGCTGAAGCAGCAGCAGCTGCGGCGGCGGAGCAGCAAGTCAAGCTGAAAAGCAAGAAGCAGGCGAAGAAATCAGCCGTAGCTGTAACCACCGCATCCAGTTCCACGGCGAGCAGCAACTCCTCCAAAACGCAGACGCCGCAGAGCACGCGCGAGAGCTCGGTGTGCAGTGTGAAGCCAAAGACTGCACCCAAGAAGCCGGCGGCCAAGCCACCCAAGGTGGTGGAAGTTACACCACCACCACCTATTCCAGAGCCCGAGCCACCGAAGAGGCAAAAGCGTCTAAAGTCGCGGCTGGATCCTGGCCAATTGGACAACAATCCCTTCAAGTCGCTGCACATGCAGGATTCATCGGAGGGCGAATGGGAAACGGGCAGTGAGTCGGAGGAAGCCGAGGCGCCGCCGCCCATCCGGCAGCAGCCCAAACTGCCAGCTGCTCCGGCGCCCAAGCCAGTTGCTCCTCCAGTAGCCACAAAGGCGAAGCCAACTCCCGCACCAGTTGCTGCACCTGTCAAGAAGGTTAAGCAACAGGAGGTGGCTCCGCAAAAGCAACACCCTGCAGCTCCCGCCAAGGCTCAAGCTCAGGCAAGGGGCAAGGCAACGTCTGCTTCCGCTGGAAAGTCCAATCCTCCGCAACAGCAGCAGCAGCAGTATCAGCAGGAAAAGATACCGCCTGCCAAGAGCCAGTCGCAGCGTCCAGCTGAATCAGCGAGGAAGCAGAAACAGGCTCCTGTTAATCTCGAATCCAACCGCAATGCTCCAAACCTGGCGCCCCAGCAGTCGCGAGGTGGTCGTGGTAATGGTCGGACGAAGCCCTCGGCTGGTGGTCAACAGCAGCAGCAGCAGCAGGTCCAGCAGCACTCCAATCCCCATTCAGCTGAGGCGAGCGCTCCGCCAAAGAGATCGCAGCGCGGCAAGCGCGGGCATCGCCAAAAGCAGGGTAAGAAACTTGGTCAACTTATCCCAACTTTAAATCTCATATTTCTCCCCTTGCAGAGGATCTCTCGGGCATTCCACACAACATGGGCTATTTCAACCCCAACGAAGTTGCCATACCTCCGCCGCAGACTGGAAGTTATGCCAGCACTTTGACCCAGCAGATGCAGCACCTGCGCATCGGCCAGTCGGGCGGCAGTTCCAGCTCGAAGCAGCCATCGCAGTCGCCCAACTGCAGCATTATGGACCAGCTGAACCGCGGTGTACAGGTGGAGCACCTCTCGCTGCCGCCTGGCATCACGCTGACCAAGGTGGACCCCGCGAAGAGCGAGCAGTTGCGCCAGAAGAGCGAGTCCATTCGACTGCTATCGAAGCCTTTGGCCGAGCAGCAGCAACAGCAGCCACAGCAGCATCACTTCCAGCAGCCGTCGCACCTACTGCAAAGCTACTATGGAGCAGCTGGAGCCGCTGGCATGGATCCCAATGGTGTAATCATGGTTGAGGCCAATCCGCGGCCAAATCGCAATAGCCAAGCTCCCTCTGCACCGCCTAACGTGGCTGCTGCGGCATCGGCGGCCAGTGCCAGTGGAAAATCCTCGAGACGCCGGCGAAGGAATCGTGGAAAGTCCGGTGGTGGAAGCGGCGGCGGCAACATTGGCAGTTCCGGAGGGGCCAACAAGCAGCGATCGGGAGGAGGAGTTGCTGGTTCTGGAGACAGCCAAAAACCAGCGGCCTCGCCAGCCAGTGCAGCCACTATCGAAGCGAATGCCAGTGGAATTATAACCCTGCGCAATCCAATGTTCCACCAAGCCAATGGGCCAGTGGCCGGTGGAGGTATGATGCCTCCCAATCCCAACCCAATGCCACCAGGTAAGTAAACTATAAATAACTAGACCACGGATTTTGCATATTTGTCCATTTTTGGTCCGATTTTTAACAAAATTTATAGGAAGGTGTCATATTTTTAAATGTAATAAATTCGAATACATATTGCAAATATGCAAAATATATGCATAAAATATGCCCCCTTATCGCCTACTCGTTGGAAATATAAATAGGTTTTTTTTTAACTTTTGGAAAAAAATAGATATCTTAGAAATGACGAAAAGGAACAAACAATTTTCTTCGGGTAAATTAGGTTCGCTATGAAATAGTTGAGTTTATTTTATATTTTCGTATATTTTGCGTATTTTATGCATATGCATTTTATGCAAATATGCAAAAAATAATAAAATATGCCATTAATTTTAAACTTAATTTTTTTTTATCTATCTTTATCCTATAAAAATATTCCAAATCCGAGGTCTAGTAATTTATATATGAAATAAGTAAATAATTCAATAATTAACCATTTATTGCAGTGCGAAACTTTGGCGCCAGCCTCCCCGCTGCTCCGCCCATGGCCATGGATCAACCTGCCGCAATCATCAAGAACGAGAACGGCATGTTCACCATACGCAATCCGGCGCTGCACCAGGCGGTGACCAATGGCTTGGCCATGGGCGGCTACCGACAGTTCGGCAGCAATGTCAACTACTATACGCCCCAGGAGGCTGTGGCCGAGGCGGCCCGGGCCACGCAGCAGAAGCAACAGCAGCAGCAGCAGGCTACTGCCGCCAGCAGCAGCAATACCTCAAATTTCTCCTACTTTTCCAGTGGATCGGCCAGTGGCAACAGCAGCGGAAGCAGCAACGGTGGCAACGGGACGCACAACAATATCAGTATTAGCTGTACCAACGTTCCCCCGAGCAATACCGAAAGCGGAAGCAACAGTCCCGGCCGTTTGGTAGGCGACGCGGCAGTGATTGCCCGTCCCAAGCAATCGCAGAAATGTCTCTCGGCGATTGGCAGTGAGCTGAAGCAGAAAGCCAAGGACAGCAAGTGGACGGGCTATGGCCAGCAGCAGCAGCCGACGTCGGACTACAACTCTGGAGGAGCTGGAGGAGGCGTTCCCTTGCAGGAGAAGTACCAGCAGTCGAGCTACTACAACGGCTTCGAGGTCTTCTCGGCGGCAGCGGCGGCCGCCTCACAAGGTCCTGGCAGCGGCGGCGGATCGAGCGAATGCCACATGCATCACAGCTGCGGCGACGACTCTCCGCCGCCCACCATCACCGGTTTCAATTCCTACCTGGAGGGCATCCCGAATACCGGGGTCATTCGCTACGACGACGCCGCCTTTCTCAAGAACTTGATACCGGGCCAGCATCTCAACAACGAGGTGCGTGAAGGGGATTGGATCTATTCAAGCTACCCCAACTATCCGGTGTCCTATTGGAATCACCAGACCTATCCATTCTTTTCATTTTTCTCATCTTGAACATATAATGATCGATGACAAATTAGAGGGAATTAAAGAAATTTACAAATAAATTGATCGGATCATTTCATTTAGTTTTTACTTCCTAACCATTTTACAATTTTAATTTTAAAAATTATTATCAACGAATTTAAATTGTCAAACTGACACTAGAGTTGTCTAATTTGTATCATTCCCATTCACAGGTCTCCATACACAATATATCGGAGTCCAACTTCACGCGCAACAACGCGTCGCCATCGCCGCACCACGTGGAGATTACCAGCGTGTTTGGCAACCGGGTGCGCTCCTCGAACGCCTATGATCCACAGCAGGTCGGTCCAGGTCCAGGTGCCAACTACTGCGACAGCGTAGCCGCCGACTACGGCAGTGGTGAGTATTCATGGAGAGATCTAATTCCCAATTTAAATAATTTAAAGTAGGACATTTTTTACCCCTCAAAATTGTTTAATTCAATAGATATTTGGATTATCCCTATCCATAACCAAAAACATATACATTTTTTATAAAATTTACACATTGTATTAGTAACGGTAGACAGAATCAACTTATTTACATACATTGTGAGCGGTCTCTTAAATGTCAAAAACTCATTGTGTTAAAAACACGCTGTGTAAAAAACACGTCGTATTAATAACACGTCGTGTAAGTAACACAAATGACATGTGTGTGTTATTTATGTTTCTAACATATATAGGCTACAATTTTTTACAAACACATGTCAATAACTTTTTTTGAACTTAACACTTTGACATTTAACATGTTAATAACACAAGTTATTTACAGTGTGTGTTATTTTCGGAACCCTGAACTATATAACGATCATTCCTCTTCCAGATTCCCACCTCTTTGTCCAGAACAATCTGCTGACGCGAATGCCACAGCCTCCAGCGCCGCCCGATCCCTTTGGCTACGACTTCGACCCCTCGGTGGTGCCGGGCGGAGGCTCGAAGGCGGCCAGCGTGGCCAGCGACCTGAACGAATTCCTGCGCCGCAGTCCGCTCAGCCAGCGAACCTCGCCGTACAGCCAGGACGAGAGTGCCGCCGCCCTGGAAACGTTCGTCCAGAACATGAGTGCGCTGCAGATCGCGAGCGATGCCGAGCAGTGCTCGCGGCTCAACGGGACGGCAGCCGGAGGAGGAGGAGGACCGGGCGATGCCCCGTCGGCGGATGCCACCGCCGGAGGAGCCGCCAATGCGGCCGCCGCCTGGTGGTGAACCACATGACAAGAGGTGCTGCTGCATGGCCAGCAGATTGATTTGAACTCCTTACATTCATCCCACTCTCACATACGCAGACATTTCATCGATAGGGCTGAAAACAAACGATAAATGAAAACCAGAAAAAAGAAAAGAAACATTAAAATACAAAAAACAGAAAAGCATCCAAGAAATCATTTAAAATGGCTTAGGAGTCAATTTCAATGTTTCAACAAAAAAGAGAAAAATAAAGAAAAAATTAACTTAAATGGAAGTTCACATGCGAAATGGTTTTAGTTGTAAATTAATTGGTTATTAGAATTACGAGGGGGTATTAATCTTTATTAAATGAAATTACAGCTTCTTGAGATAATTGCATTTATTTTAAATTTTCAATTTGATGCTAGTAATTATAAAAACGTTATGCTTAAGTTTCACGTATAAGATGCTGTGGAGTGGCTAAAATACTTGATTGCGTTCAAAACTCAAAGACAAGCGATCCGGAGGCGTAGCTGACGCTGGAGTCCTCCATGTCCTGGCACTGGCTGCTCTGGGCGTACTTGAGGAACTTGAAACTCATCTTGTCGTAGCCCTGATCCTGCAGAGCCTTCACGGCGCCCAGCATCACTCCGATGGGATGGCGGCCGCATATCGTGTTGTTGTATTTGCGCAAGTACTCGGTAAAAGATTGCGGACTGAGCGTTTCGATAATGTCCATGCCCTGCTTGTCCAGCTTCTCGATGGACTTGTGAATGGCGCCGCATGAGCGATCATAGTAGGTGTAACTGAAGCGCTGGCCCCAGTGGCAAAAGTCGGAGGATATCACAAACAGGTTGGTGGGGTCCATTAGATAAGGGGACAGCAGGCTGCCGTATTGAGCCTCCTGCTCGGGATTGAGCGAACCCACCAGGATAGGCACAATGGTGAACTGGTCCTTGTAGCTGAAGAAATAGGATTATTTTATTAGTTAATAATGTTTTGGAAAATAACCAATTTAACTTACTCCTCCATCACTTTAGCTATGTAAGGCAAATGCATCTCAATGGAGTGCTCATCTTCGTCAGTTTTCATGTCCATCCAAGAAAACTGTCCAGTCTTCTCAAGCTCAGCGTTGACTAAAATCAGTAAGCAATTAAATTAAAAATCAGGAATCCTGGTACGCTCAACAATCATACTCTGAGTATCAATTTTGAGATCGTAGAGGGGAGTCCGGTATTTCTTCGCCACGGATAAGGCACAACCACGAAGGCGCACGTGATGCGAGGGACCCAGTATGAAGATTCGCTTTCTGCAAGCAAATGTTCAATTGTCTAGATTGAAACCTATAATTTCAAGTCCTTACACGACAACAGGGCTAACTTGGCGATAGGCGAACGCACCGCAGGCACCACAGTACGTATATCCAGCGTGTCTGTGGAGATTTTTTTAAAATACTATAAGGATTTTCAATAGGAATTTGGTTAAAACTTACGGAGCAATGATGGCGCGAGCCGGTCCATGGGAGAGATCAGCGGCACCCAACCAGCGGTCCAACTGCCTAGAGAGCTCAGTGCCTGAAAAACGAGTAAAAATAATTACTTAGTAATTCTTATTATAACTTGTAAATTTCAAACACCATTTACTAATGATATTTTTGCATATAATTAAATTAATTGAAAGAATGCAAGTATTCCAGTAAACCAACTTAGTTGGCATTGCGTTGCCTAGCAGCAAATAAACAAAAAATATCAACAGTTCTATTAGAATTTTGCTGAATCGACTTAATACAGCTGCGATCCAAGTTATTAAATACTGATTAAAATTTTAGTTAAACATTCCGCCATGGAAAGTGATAAGGAAAAGCACAGCGATGAGCTCATGAATCGCATTCGAAATGAGCTGACAGCCATTATATCGCAGGAGTAAGTTTAAAATACATATTTAGAAATATTACAAATATATCCGAATCTTAAAATATATAATCTTAATATTAGGATATTACATTTTACAATAATAATTTTTTTCTTTTTATAACAGGGCAGCAGATGATAGGCAGATATCAAATGAGCTACTCCTGAGTCCCAATCCGCTGCCCATTTTCGGGCAAATAAGGAAGAGTAGGCTCACAAAGGCGGGGAATTCGAAGAAGAAGGTGGGCAAGCCGTCATCCGCCGGCAGTGGCAAGAGTTCTTCGTCTGCAACCGGTTCATCTGAAGATCGGATGGCGGGTGGAGATGGCCAGAAAAAGGATACTAATCCGACCTCCAGTTCCTCCAGTTTTTCGCTGAAATCTGGATTCGAGGGTCCGCCCAAGGATTCCAAAAGCCGTTCCGAGTTCATGGAATCGCACGCGGCCAAGAGCATCGACGACGATGTGCAGAAGATGCAGCTGGAGCTAAAGAAGAGCTACGAGCTCTTCCAGGGCATTGGCGAGAAGTTCGAGTCAGTTAGCTTCACGGGCTTGAAGAATCGCATCAGGGATTTGCACCTGAACGACTCCAACAACGAGATGGGCAAGGCGACGACCGCGGAGCTGCAGAAGATGTTCGACCAGCGTTATCTGCAGAATCGCCTGGATAAGATAACCACGGATGCCACGCAGGGTTTTCGCCGGCATCCCGGTGAATTTGGGGACATTCCGGAGCTGAGCACCTTCTTCCAGGCGTGCACCCAGTTGGAGCACGGATTGGATGCACTGCGTCAGCAGCGACGGCGCAACAGCGAGCTGGAGAAGCGCCTGTGCTGGGCCACTGAGATTGCCTACGATCGCATGGACGAGATTCGCAATGCGGTGGGCTCTGATCCGGAAAAGAACTTCTGAATGAGCAATTACTTAGTTATTAAAGATATATGTTATTTTATGGTTCATCCTAAAGTTCATTACCCGACTCACACACACACACACAGGTGCAATACATATACATATATCCCCCACACCCACACGGTGCAATTGCAATTGATTGTGTTATCTTTTCTATGGATGGGCAATTACTCACCCGAATCGGTGTACCAGCTGCCTGCGTGGGTTGCTCTTCTGGCCGACATTTTAGTGCGAGATCCCTAATCGGTATGTTTAGTCAGATAGTGCAATTAACTGGCAGTTACTTGTAGAAAAAACCCCGTTTCTTTGTTATTGGCCTCCAGCAGTGTGACCGTGGAGGTGGTGTTTGAAACTCGAACGTCTGCTGCTTGAGTTGAGTCATTTGAAAGTCCTGCCTTTCGGTCACACTTTTTACCGATCGAAAAAATATTTAAATATCCTTCTTATTATTTTATATATTTTATAAGTTGTGTAATTATCTTTTATTATTATTATTTTCTATTGCTAATAACCAATTTTTAAAATCAAATTTATTTTTATTATACAAAATTAAAGATTACAAATAATTATTTTCTCAAAATGATTAAAAATTACACAACAAATTCTGTTAAATTTCATATTTTTTAACTACGGTTGCAATTATTCCTTACCCGCATAAACGAAAGAAAGTTTTTCGATTCACCTAAAATACTCGAAAAGCCGAATTCGTAAATTGTAATCGAGTTCGCCACCATTATTTTTCTATATCCCAGGTATTTTTGCAGTGTGACCCTCGCGCACCGCGGTATTTCGGCACAACCGTTCCGCGGTCACTCTGCCCGCATAGCGTCATTGCTTTGCTGTACTAAAACCTAAAAATCCGCCGTGTTCGTATTCCGCCATTTTGAAAGCTGCGAGTGGAATTTGGACGCGTTGCTGGTAAATTAATTGTGGGAAAACTGTCCGAAAAGTGCAGAAAATTTGTGAAAAGTGGTCGGCGACGGCGTGTGAACCCCGCCGCCAAGTGTTTGTCCCCGAAAATGGTGTGTGGCCGCGTTTTTGGCACGTGAATTTCAGTCCAATTGTGAACTCGCAAAAAAGAAAAGAAAAGAGAAAGAAAAAACCGACGCCGCCGTCGCCGCCGCCACAAAGGAATAGGCGAATAAGCGAGAGAAAAAGGCAAAGGCGAGCGAAAAGAAAATCAAAAATTGTGCGCCGCTGATTGCGTTTCAGCAATTTAATAATACTAAAATCCACGGCAGCGGCGATTTTTCCACGGATTACACTATACATTTCCATTTACTGTCTTTCTGTTTGCAACGAGTGTGCGCCTGTGCCTCTGTGTGTGTGTGTGAGTGTGCGATAAACGTGTACAAGAAAAATTTAAACGTGCAGAATTCTGATGAATTTTAAAGCGGAACTACTTTTACATGTATAGGTGAAATATATGTATGTTTGCGTGTTTTCAGAGTGGGTGCACGCACACTTGGCCAAGTATTGTTGCGGTTTAATGCAAAGTTGAGTGCGTGAGTGTGAGTGAGTGAGCGAGTGAGCAACGCCTGCCATATTCTATGCAAAACATAAATAAAATTGTGCAATAATTTCCCCACACACGAACACACACAGCCACAGATACATACAATCTCCCTTTGAAATATGTGTTTTTTTTATTTTGCGCCCGCCTAGTGACAATACACACGCAAGGTTCACTGCGCAACGCCCCCTGCCCCCCTTTTCTACACCACCCCCTTTTGCCCACGCCACTGCAACATGCTGTCTCATCGTTGTTGTTTTGCCGCCGCCACATTTGGTGCGACAGAGAGGGGGAGAGGCCGAAAGCAACGAGTTTGGAAACCAACTAAAGCCTCATGTTGACACATTTCAACCGGGTTTTCGTTCTTTCGCTCGGATTAAAAAGCCTTTAAAGGGTGAAAGTGCTGCTTATCGCTTTGACGTTTCTTCTCCGCGAATCAAAGCTTTAAAGTTTTCTTGTTTTTTTTTCGCATATTTATTGGAAATTACAAGCCCACAAACACACACACAGGCAGCTACCGTTGGAATTGCGGTGCCTTTGTGTGCGTGTGTTTATGCCGATTGAAATACACAAAATGCCAAGTGAAAAAGTTTGATAAAGTTGCGAATGTCCATTCAAATTGACTCTTGTTTCTAGTTTTATTACAAATTTTTGCGCTTGTCGTGTTTTTGTCGTTGCTTCTTCTCTCTCTTTTTTCGTTCGCCCTTTTACTGTTCGACGTGCCTGTACCCATCACACAAACACATACAGGACAGAAACACACGCACACATGAAGAGGCAGACAGACAAGCAACTCTGGGCTCCCCCCGCCCCCTCCCTACCCCCACCCACTCGCATTTGCAACGGGAATGTTGTTGGTGTTGCTCTGCAGTACTCAAAACTCCGGAGAGGATTACAAATGGTGTTGTTGTTTTTGCCAAAACGGAAATACAGACAAACTTCTGCAACATAAAGAGTTCAAGTTATACGGACGGTTATTTATTTGGTTTCTTTTCTTCCTCTGCAACTTTTTGCGCACTTTTGGGTAATCAAAATAATTTAAGGTCCTTTGGAAGCGGGAGTAATTGAAATTATTTAAAGGGTTCTTAAGAGTCTCCCCCAAAACAGTTAACTTTAATTTTTATTGGCCGATTTTTAGATTTCCTTATAGTTTGGTTTCCTGTTTTGAATGTAATTTGATTATTAGGATACATAAATGCAATGTACACCAAATAATTACAAATATTGTAAAGGGTTCAGAAAACTAATTTAACAAGTCAAGAACTTTGCACATAAAATCGATACCATAAAAAGCGGTTATTATACATTTTTTGACCTTTAAAAAATATGAGTTTTAGATAGGAAAACAAAATAAGTTAAATTTTTTTATTAGCCATAGATATTGGTTTTTATTTACTGAAAATTCAATTTCAGTAAGTTTGTACAAGAATCTTTAAATGAATTCCTATTCCCCCCTCTCATTTCTTGTTTTGCTACGTCAGCCACACAAGGCAAATAGAATGGATAGAAATATGGAAATATATTGCAGAGACCCCTTTTCTCGTATCCACTTGAATATTTGCATTGCCATGGAATTTTATATGTAGTCCATCGATAACTGTACACATTGCTGAATTTGTTGTTACTCGTTTTTTGGCGCAACAACATTTTCCATTGCCTTTCGTTGTCACTGCCCTTTTTTGGGCAATAATAAATTTGATTGTGTATGGCTGCCCCCGCCCCCGCTCCCGCCCACTCTAACCGTTATTTATTGTCAATGCCAGGCATTACCACCCACCCACCGAACCCACCGCCCCCTTATCACTTTGATGCTCTGTATTTTTGCGCAATGTTTGTTGTTTTGTGTTTGTTGCCGACTGCGCGCGTGAAAAAATGCACACCTGCCCAAAGAATTTCACACTTTGTGGTGCGCGCGGGGAAAAACAAAGCGAAAGCAGCCACAGAAATAGCAGCAAAACGTTTAAATTTAAATATAAGTCTGTGAAACTAAAATTCGGGCAAAAACACAATGGCAGCCATGTGTTGTTTCCCCATTTTCCTCTATCCCTATCGATCTGAGAAATAAATACAACCAATTTTGGCAAGCCAAGGGTTTAATACTCTAAAAATTCGTTAGATGTATAGATTTATAAAGTTCTTTAACAAAAGATTTCTATAGTCAATCATTCAGTCTCTTTAAAATTGTTATTTGTTCAAATATTTACTTATTCATCTAATAAAGATCACGTCTTTATAGCTGACAAACCAATCACTATAATTATTATCCCCTACGTAAGCGTATTTCAAATAAAAACAGACAACACACTTTCAGATGGCTCAGCCAAAATCCGTCTAAACGAATAGATATAGCATAGCAATAATAATAGCAAGAGCGGCCACAACGCAACATCAGCAATTCGTAAGCGTGCGAGGGCAATATATACGTATATAAGTTGTATTTCATTTGATTTTTTCCCACTTCTGGTCACTTGCCACTCGCTATGCTGGCTTGCAGTTTTTCAATTTGCGTCATTCGCAGACCGCGCACCACCAATCAATATTATAAAAAAAAAACAAGTGGGAAAAACGAGAAAAACGCGAGGGAAAACAATGAGAAAGCAACGCAGAATGACAAATACAGACAAATAAAAACATTGGCCAATGTCAGGCAAACAGTTTAAGTGGTTTCTTTTGGTAGTACAGTAAATATCGTCGCTTAAATTATTGCTGAAGGTCCAAACGTAATCGCTTTATCTGCACTTTTTATGGCAGTGCAGTAAATATCACCGACAATTAACGTTTCGGAATTTTACTTGGCCAAGTCTGTTGGTTTAATAGAGGTCTGGATCTTTATCCATTTATTGGTGTTAACCAATAACCGACTTATCGGTAGAATAATCTGATTTGAGCAGTTTTTTATTAGTGATTTTGTAGACTATCAGGAGTTTTGTGTTTGCTTTCTAGAACTTTTTTTTTTGTGGTTTTTGTAAATCATTTTGTATTTATTTATTACTTTTAGGATTTTCTGATTACGAATTTATTTAAAAGAGTATATTTTCTAGACCTATAAACTGAAAAATCCACTCAAATCGAACTTAGTAATGGCAACTGCATTATTTGCAAATGATTTATGATGTAAGGCCATGAATCAAATTCTCACAACTTTCGCCATTCGGCTTTAAAAATCGCAATAGCCAGAGCAATAATATTGTGGCATTAACATCTTAGATATGGACAACAATATTCGTATTTTCTGCTAACCACGAGACTTTTGGCGTCATCATCTTAAAAGCCGGCTTTAAATGCATATGCATGAAACAGAAAGCAGAAATGGAAACCAGTAGGAGGGGGCGGGGGCGGGTGGAAAAGCGCGGGAACGCAACGTTACGACCAAACGGCATCCGTTAATTCAGGCAAAAAACAAGTTACGAGCACCGACCTAAAGTTGAAAAATCACTGGCAGTCGTCGCAATAACGACGCATGAGCAGTTGCACTTTGAATTTTCCAGTTGCAGTTGCCGATGGTTTCCTACCCCTTGAATTTCCACCTCCATTTTCCCCCAGCATCTCTGCTCTGCTGCTGCTGGGCTTTAAAAGTTGCCCACAAATGCGCATGACTTATTTAAACGTGTTTTAAGCAGTCGCAAACACACACACTCGCAGTAAGCCAACAAACAATTTAAGCGAACATGGCTTTTCCTGCTTGAAATTGTGGCCAAAAAAAAAGGAAAAGAAACAGAAACAGAAAAAGAGGCAGCAAATAAATAAAAATAAAATCGAGTGAAAAAAGCCAGCCATTGAGTTTGCCAGCGGCTCTTTAGCGCTGACTTTCCTCTTTTGCCGCCACTCTGTTATCGTCTGCCTCGTTTCATGTTGATAAACCGGTTTTTCGCTTTGGCTTGGTTTGGTTTGGTTTGTTGCTGTGCCGCCTGCTGCTGTCCCCTGTCCATAAAAAGATATGTACGCGGCCATCGTCATCGGTGCCGGAGTTACTGCTCTTTCAGTCGGACAGTGCTGCCCGAGTTTTAAAGCCGGCCACAGTAACTGTTGTGCAATTTTTATTAAAGAAAATTATAATACTTAATATGTAATTACGGCTAAAGCTTATGAGATAGAGATTTGTATCCAAGAGACAAATCATTGGTTTTTCTAAAGTACAACCACATACCAAGTTTCATATCAATCGGTCATAAATATGTCCTCAATAGCGATTTTAGTTGAGTTGAAAAAACCGGGAAGTTTGTATTTAGTATTCTGAAATTTCTACTATTCTTATTAAAACACGATTACATTTTGCCTAGTACATTTTCTTGAAAATAACAAAAAAATTTATATTCAATCCTCAATAGCGATTTTAGTTCAGTTGAAAAAAAAACTGGGAAGTTGGTGTTTAGTATACGAAAATTTCAACTACTCTTAATATAGAAACAGAGCCCATTTCGCCTAGTAAATTTTCTTGAAATAAAAAAAAATTCAATACTGAACTTAAACATTTTGTAATTAGCTATGATTTATTGGGGTACCAGCAGGTATTTTCATCTTATAAAGAAGTAGAACCATCAGTAAACCAGCCAAACTTGCTGCTCTGGTGCCAAATGTGGCCGGCTTGTTTGTTAGACAGCCGGCGGCTAGTCGGTTTGTACGGTAGAATCGGTAGAATTGGAATCCGAATGGGAATCAGAAACAGAATCATCGGGCCACCGGACTCGGACTCAGGTAGCAGCGCGTCACACTCGGAATGAATGTATCTGTTAGATACGCGGCCACGACTTACTGTACACTCTGGCGCTAGTTGTGATTTATAATGCCTCGCTGGATGTGATTTTCTGCTCGCTGCTGCATTATATGCTTTGATTTGATATTTATTCCTATTCACTGCCCGCGGGCATCAACAGGTTTTCTCGGTTGAGATTCGGTGGTTTCGCAAAGGCGAGTTGAGTCGAGTCGTCGGGTGAAAAGTGCCTCTCCCGCAGGCGTGGGCGCTCGCACATTGCGAATGCCACATCCTGTGGCAACTTCAGGCATTCACAAAAAATAAAAAAAAGGAAAAAAAAAACGAATAAAAGCAAGCTGAAGTGAAACTGGTTTCTTGGCGCGCTTTAAACACTCTTAACTGACATTTTCCATTTCGACTGTGTTTCGAAAGAGTTTGTCTTTCTGCCGCCAAGTTGTGCAAGAGTGTAACTTGAGCGAAGAATTAGCTTCAGTAGAGGCAACCAATAAATGTTCCTTTTGTGTAAATAATATGTGAGTGAATTACGTGGATCACCACGTCAGTAAAGTTCCAGAAAGGTCTTATCTACAGCATTCCCTAAATCCAAAAATATTACGTTTTAAATAATTCTCATGCTGTTATCGGCAGTTTAGTTCAGATAAAGCTGGTTCATATTTTAATGGTCATTGTACCACAAAATAATGTATGTTCTCGAACACTTTCACATTGGAATCATAAAGCGGAGTTGGAAGAAAGCTCGTGCCTTCAATAAACTGGATTAACATATTCTAGTGAATTCCCAATAAGTGCAGTGAATCATTCATTTTGAGCCGGTTATCCACGCAGATAATCTCTGCAAAAAAATATATTTCCGAGTAAACAAATGCGAATCAAAAATCCGCAGCCACATGAGAGCTACAAATTCTGGGCATAGAGAAATTGCTTGAAAATTAACAAAGCGTTGCGCCCACTTGACTTTGGCTATTCACTTGATAAATATATATATGTGTATTGTGTATTGTATGGTATGGCATGGTGTAGTACTAGTCATAGGGAGGAGGGGTTGGAGAGGTTCTCGGGGTGATGTGATTGTGCTGGGATATTTTTTTTCCATTGCCCGATGTCATAATTGCGTTGCTTATTTTTGTATTTCTGTATTTTGGCTTGCGATTTTGCGAACGTTCGCTCGAGCGTTATTCTTCCCCCCGCAGTATCTGTGCAAGTTTTTTTTCTTTCTTTTTTTTGCTATTATTATTGTAGTCTCGTCGGTTGCCGCATTTAAACGTATTTCATACTTTTGCACAATACGTGACACATGGCTGATGGGAAGTGTCCGACGGAGGAAGCGGGCAGTCTCGGGTCGGGGCAGATGTGTGTCTAAACATAGCCTATAGCCTATAGAGGCAGTCATTGACGGCTTATCACCGCAGATACACGCACAGAAAATATATATATACCAGTATATAGAAATATATCTGTGCTGTCAAAGTGTTTGTTATTGTTCCGATTTGCTTCTCTTATCAGCGCGCTGCGAAGTGAATCTCCGCTCGTATATATAACTAAAAAAAAAAATAAAAACTATAAGAGCGCCAACCCAGCAATTCATGCGATATATATTTCGTATTTGGGTTCGGACTATAAATGTCGCTTTAAGTAATTTCACGTGATCGCTACAATTATCATTTTATTGATAGCCACTCACTCAGCTGTTTGCTTTGCTTACCCTCCTATAAATACGATAGTCATTCTAATTATTAATGGCGATAAGAAAAACAAGTTTTGGAAATTTGCCTAATGCTTTGGCTTATCACAAAATAATATCATTAGTGGTTAAAGTACGATGATTAGTTTTCGATGTATACCAAAAATGTCAATTGAGTTCTTTAGAAGGGATTTGCTGATAAGTTAGTAAACCCTGAATTAAATCTAAAGTTCTTAGTAAAAATACGCAACTGAAAAGTATTAAAGTAATCTAATCCCAAACTCATCTAATAAAATCTCTGAATGTACAGACCATCTTATAGATGTTCACACTTACCTGAAGCCCTTCAAATATATCGGTCACATTGCCATCACGCCGAGCTGGAAGCCCACCATCCATTGCCCCCACGCCATTCCACGACGTCAGATAACCAAGAAGTGTCGGGGTGATAAGATAAGGCGGGCTACTACACGTAATCCGTATCCACTCGGTGACAAACCAGATGTGTGGGTACAGTACCTTGCTCTTCTGGGTTCTCGAGAACCATTCTTGTGTCTAATCAACCGTACGATAAGTTCACTTGGATTTTGGAGCAGTAGGGGTCTTTAATTCGGACCCTGTGACGAGGTGTATTCGAGCCAGCTGGCCAACAAGAAACGCCCTTTCATGCTATCGAACACAATCGAAAGGGGGGACTTCAGACAGGGAAACCGGGTACTGGCCATTCCGCTCCAGTCGATTTCGATGGTCGCATGTGAACAGCGTTAAATTTCTATGTTTCTGCAATGACACCTCCCCCAAAATCCCCCCACCCACTCCCAATCCCCACCCCTTTGCGCCTAAGCCACTCAATAGGGCGGGAAAGGGAAAAAGAGGGCAGCGATGTGAGTGCGGCAATAACGTAGCTTTATCGCTGATGTTGGCGAAATCCAAACGAAACTTGTCATCAGCCGAATTTTGCTGACATGAGCTGTTTTTTTTTATATTTTGGTTTTCTTTTTTTGTTTCTACATCACATTTCATGTTTTCCATTTAATTTATGTGTTATGTGTGTTTTTGTTGCTTTCATTGCAGGATTCTCGATTTCAATATGAAGCGCCAAAAATGATTGCAGCGTTTGCATCGTAGTCTTGAAAAGGTTTTTTTCATTGATTTAATTAGAGCCACCGAAAGCGGTTGGCCAGCCAGCAAAAACGAGCGACCAGGGATAAAGGGATTCCTCCACCAGCCTGCGCCCAGCGCCCTCTTAACACGGTAACCACTGACAGAGAATCAAAAGGAACCACATAAGTTTTATTACGACGACGAAGACGACGACGAGCAGAGGATAGCAGACAGACAGATACAGAAACAGCGAAATGGACAAAAATCTGATGATGCCGAAGCGTTCGCGCATCGATGTCAAGGGCAGTTTTGCCAACGGACCGCTGCAAGCACGCCCATTGGTGGCCCTGCTCGATGGACGCGATTGCTCCATCGAGATGCCCATCCTGAAGGATGTGGCCACGGTGGCCTTTTGCGATGCACAGAGCACCTCCGAAATACACGAGAAGGTGAGTCTACACTTATTTTGATTCCTTCATGTGGTTACAACTCTAATAATTGGTATTTCTCAGGTTCTCAACGAGGCAGTGGGAGCTCTGATGTGGCACACCATTATTTTGACAAAGGAGGATCTTGAGAAGTTCAAAGCTTTACGCATCATCGTGCGCATCGGCAGCGGCACAGACAACATCGACGTGAAGGCGGCGGGCGAACTGGGCATCGCAGTGTGCAATGTTCCCGGCTATGGAGTCGAGGAGGTGGCGGACACGACAATGTGCCTGATCCTCAACCTTTACCGGCGGACGTATTGGCTAGCGAACATGGTGCGCGAGGGCAAAAAGTTCACTGGACCCGAGCAAGTGCGGGAGGCAGCGCATGTAAGTGGTTTGCTTAGTTAGTTGGGAGCATAAGAAAAATAGTTTGTTATCGCTTTTAAATTTAACATGCTTATCTAGGCATTCCTAAATGTGTTGACAGCCCCCAGCGAACCTTTCTCGATAGCTGTAGTTTTCATGCCTAAAATTAGTTGATTTTACTTATGCTAGTGTCCAGATATCACGTATGTTTTTTGGCTTAACGCTTTGATAATAGTTCAATTAGAAACAGGGTTCGGAATTTGACACACATGTTAAAAACATGAAAAATTGTATTTTACAGTGTGAGCAAAGTTGTTGACATGTCTGTCAAATACAAAAGTGTAAAATGTGAAAAATAATTGTTAACACACACAACCGACTTGTGTTTTTAATACAACGTGTTATTAACACACCGTGATTTTTACACAATGTGTTTTTAACAAGATGTGTTTTTGACTTAAAAAGTGTTCGGTTCAAAAAAACTGTAACTGCTACGAATTAACTAGAAAATACATTTGTAAACTGTCACCGTGACATTCGTTCAACTTCTATTTGAGTAAATTAAATATTAAATCATAAAATATTGATAACGCTGATTATTTTCCATTATGCACTTGGATTTACTGTAAAGCTGATGAAATTCAGTGGCTAAAACCCGTATACAAATTGGTTCATCAAATTCAAATGCAAATTGTGTTCAAAAATAGTATTTGCATATAAGCAAGCTCTACAGCTCCTCGGTAAACACAGAAATAGGTGGTGATGTAGAATATCTGCATATAAGCGGCATTAACATTTAATCGATATATACGTACTTTCTTCTACACCTTTGAATGCATCTAACTGGAACACCATCTGTTCATTTTCTCTCCACAGGGCTGTGCACGCATCCGCGGCGACACCTTGGGCCTGGTGGGACTGGGCCGCATCGGAAGCGCCGTGGCCCTGCGGGCAAAGGCGTTCGGCTTCAACGTCATCTTCTACGATCCCTACCTGCCCGACGGCATCGACAAGTCGCTGGGCCTCACTCGCGTCTACACGCTGCAGGACCTGCTTTTCCAGTCCGATTGCGTCTCACTGCATTGCACGCTCAATGAGCACAACCATCATTTAATCAATGAATTCACAATTAAACAGGTGAGTAAGAGAATTCTATCTGAGATTTAGAAGCCAATTAGTAGTGATGTATTTCAAGAGATACTCGTATAATAATGTTTCTAAAGAGATATCAATCAAATTTAGAACTTGATAATAAGTTTATATTTTTAATATGTGAATATGTTTCTATAACTTGTTTTTTTTATTAAAAAATACTTCATTAACCTTTTAAGAACATTACATTACATTACAAAACATTAAATGTTTTACTATATCTATGAAGGATTTATTCCATTTAAACATAGACAATAAATTTGTTTCTAAATTAATGAGCTAAATAATATTATATTCACTATTTATATTAAATAATAATTAAATAGATTAAATACTAAAACATCCACAGTAAATTTGTTTCTAAGTTAATGACTAAATTTATAACATATTTACTAATAATTTGCTTCGTTTTAGATGCGACCTGGTGCATTTCTGGTGAACACCGCCCGCGGCGGTCTGGTTGATGACGAGACCCTGGCGTTGGCGCTGAAGCAGGGAAGGATAAGAGCTGCCGCCCTGGACGTTCACGAAAACGAACCTTACAATGTATTTCAAGTAAGAGATTGTTGTAAAACGAGACATTTTACGCAATCTGAGTTGGCGCCGCACCTACGTTGGCTATTGATCGCAACTAACCGGAGTTCTTTTGACTTTTAGGGCGCACTGAAGGATGCCCCCAATTTGATTTGCACACCGCACGCCGCCTTCTTCAGCGACGCGTCCGCCACGGAGCTGCGCGAAATGGCAGCCACCGAGATCCGGCGGGCGATCGTCGGCAATATTCCAGACGTGCTGAGGAACTGCGTCAACAAGGAGTACTTCATGCGCACGCCGCCTGCCGCTGCCGCCGGGGGCGTGGCGGCGGCTGTTTATCCCGAAGGTAAACTACAAATGATATCAAATCAAGAAAAGTAGAGAGACAGAGACAGGCGAGCGAGGGAGCGTTAAGTAAAAAACAAAACAAAATGAAACAAACAAAACAAAACTTACAAAAAAAAAAAAGAACATAAGAAATCAACCAACAAAATCCAAGCAAAAATACAGTACCAGAAATCGTTTAAACACACATACTTTACACACACACACTCACACCATCCATATTACACCCACACAAGCACACGCACACGCACACAGATGTAGCAAGCATCCAAAACATACTTCTATTCTTTCTCTGACTCATTCGAAAGTATATATATATAGACGACGGGAGTGGAGCGCGCCAGAGAGAGTATATAACATTTGAAGCAAGATTCAAGAACACACACACACGCTATAAGAGTTGATATATAAGTTACACAGTTTAAGCTATACAAATATATATATATATATTTATATATATAGTGGCTAAGCGCTGCACCAAGATCAGAATGTTTGACGTCGATGAGGAGGATTAGAACGCAGCCGATGTTGGCCAAAAGTTACGTTTATTCAATATGTGTCTGTGTATGTATATGCATTGTTTTTGGCTCTAAAAAAAACGATCTAGAAAACGCTTTGAAAAACCAAACCTCTAAGAAATGTTTAAAGAGCTTTCACCGAGTTTCCAAACTCCTTTGCAATTACATTTTTCAATTTAGCCAGAGAAGAGCTTCAAATTTCTTTCAAAATTCAGCGTTTGCATGTGGCCAGTTATCTTCACTTTAGTCTACAACAATTACGTGCATATATAGTGACATAGTGAATATACATTTAAAAGAATAAGTTTCAAGATAATTTACACATGAAAACAAGGTGAAAGTAAACAATATGATGGATTATTGTTGTTGATGTTTCGCGACCTCCCTTCATCCCTCCCACAAAAAAAACCCCACAAGTATCCGGCTTTAACTTTTACAGAAACTAGAAACAATCAGCGGAAAGTATGTAAAGTAATTATGTTCAGTGTATTTAGCCATGTATTCAATGTATTTACAAATTAATATTATTATGCAAAACCAAGCAAATGATTCCAATACGAGTAACTCCCCACGTCAAAACATTTTGTAAGCTTAAGAATAAAATTGGTTAACCTATTTTGCTCCATTCATTGCTGACTTTCAATTGTTAAAAAATGGTTCGATTAAGATATGAGAACACACCCCCGAGGACATCGTGTTTAACTGAAATTACTATTCTGTTGCTCAAGCTCTGCTCTATATTACAAAATGATCTCATCATTCAAGTTTATTTTCGCCTTACGTACATTCTTGTATTTTCGATTGGCTACAACAAACAGACAGACAAACAAACAAACAGCGAGAAAGTAAATAATTAAAACTATATATATTAAATAGATGACAACTCGGCGCGTTAGATTCAACCACATCTATAAATAGAAAGAAGAAAACTACAATTAAATTAACGCATAGTCTATGTACATTTAAAATATAACAGAAATTATATTAAAGCAACCCAGAAAAAACTATAAAATGCTAAAAGAAAACAAAAAAAGATAATACATGTAATATTAATGAACCTAGATTTACCTTAACGATAAAAGGCAGCTGAGCGACGATGATAACAAGCATATAATCGTCAGCGAGCGGCACATTAAACATTGTTAGCGTGTAAATTGTAATTTTATTTAACGAGAATATATATTTACATGTAAACGGAAGTGCGCAACAATTGTAAGACTATCATTTTGTACAATTTTGCAATTTAAGTTTAGAAACGAAAAGCTTCAAGCAGTTTGGATGAATCTATCCTTCTTCTCTCCTATTTTTTATTTATCTAACTCTATCTAAAGTCTATCCGATAACGCTCAAGAACATCCCTGATCCGATCCGATCCTTTAATCCCGATTTTTTTTTTAATTGATTGTAAAACTACTTTTATAGGGACAAACTTTTTTTGTAATATTTCAAACATTTACAAGCACAAAGCATACACGCATACACACACAACATAGACACATATACGGAGCAGTATACTCACACATCAAACACACACCCACGCACACACACGCGATCCTATATAGCAAGCTGCAACAACAAATGAGCAAAGTAAAACATAAATAAGCATAAGCGTAAAAGTAAAAAGTAAACGTAAACAAGTAAAAGTAATGAGTAATGAGACAAAAGAATAAAATACTGTTATTTTGTAATGTATAAAAGGATATTTTTAATAACTGTGAAAGCTAAATAAAATTAAAAGCGTAACAATTGACGATATGAAGCAACAAAAACGAAACGAAACAAAGTAAAAAGTTGAGACGGAGAAGTTGATTTGATGAAAACCAAGAAAACCTTTCCAGAGAAAAAAAAAACCACAAAAAAACAAAAGATAAAAACAAATAAAACAAAATCTTTAATGAACCCATTATTGTTTTAACTTGCCAATTGGAAGCTGTCAAATTGTTGTCCTCCTTTTTTATGTGTGGCAGTGTTTGTTTGAAATGTTATTTTCCCGCCTAAATGTTTGTATATAATCCTGGGATGATGGCATCATTGTGAGCAAGCAGCAGAGCAGAGAGCACAATTAAGTCGAAAGTCAGTAATGAATGGAAACGCTGGTAGTCCAATTCGTATTCGTATTCCCGTAGCCTTAGCCAATTTGTATCTAGCTCTAAGGAACGGAAGGCCCCGAGATTCGTATAAACGGTTATACCAGCGCCTGTTCCTCTTAAATCATTGCATCACTAAAACCAAACCAAACCAATCCAAGACTTCTTTCATATTTGTATAGTCAGTCGCCTGATTACACAGACCCCGACCCCCCGGCAATTCAGAACCCGATAAAAACACATAATACCAACCAACCAAACAGCAACATTTCATAATCTTTACCTAACTTTCAACTACCAATACCAAATACCAATACCAACCAAATCGAAATACAATCCAGGATTAAATGGCGGCTATTATACAGGCGCACTGCATCACCGGGCACACAGCACCACGCCGCACGATGGCCCCCACAGTACAACCAACCTGGGCAGCACCGTAGTAGGAGGCGGTCCGACGACAGTCGCCCAAGCTGCCGCTGCAGCCGTGGCCGCTGCGGCAGCCGCCGCCGCCCTCCTGCCGTCGCCGGTTCCGCCGCACTTGTCGCCCCAGGTCGGTGGATTGCCGCTTGGAATTGTGAGTAGCCAATCGGTAGGTAGTCCAAACAAAAAACAAAAAAAAAACCCCTCTGTTGTCTTGTGTTTGTGTGTGTTGTTTGCCAGCAAACGTTTGCCATCTATTACCAAACCATCTTGCTATTCAGCAGCTGGCCAAGTTGCGATTGTTGTGGTAATAGTGTGCGTGGTTCTCCCAGCTCTAGTCCGTGTTTGTGTTGCTAGTTAGTCTCGTAGTTGAGTGTTGGCTAGGCTAGGGCTTTTTTGCTCACCCTGTGTGCCCACTAATGGACTAATCCCAGTTGCTAATCCTTGACCCCCTCTTGCTTTTAGCCCCTGAGTGCGCCCGACCCTAATAATCATCTGTCATCGAGCATAAAAACGGAGGTGAAGGCCGAGTCAACGGAGGCGCCGTAGGCATCTGCTGTCCACAAGTGGCTGGAGTTGATGATGGCAACGGGCAGAGGCGCAATGGAGTCCAGCACAACAACTGGCCAAGGAGAAGGATCAAATGAAAAGAAGAAAACCCCCAGGAGCAGTCCCCAAGGATTAAAAAAAATAAAAGATAAAACCCCCCAGCAGTAGTCATCATCATCTGTTGTCTGTCTGTGAAATGTGTGGAGTCCCGTGTATCCGTGCTGTTGTTCTTTTGTTCCGGTTGTCAAACGGATTCGTTGCGCGCCTGTGCCAGCGCTTGATTTGAATTTTTCCAAGTTTCTATGTTTTAATTTAAAATACAATACATATTTGCATTACCAACCCAAACAAAATAAAACAATACAACATAATTAAACAACGCAGGAAAACAAGGAGGAGGAGGAGTATAGTTATGATGATCCCCACACACAACACGCCTCAAAATTTACTACATATTTAGACTTTAATTTGTAACTATTTAGAATTTTACAGTTACAATTTAAGATTTTTATTTGTATTGCAGCAAATTGTAAGTGAAAATACGCAAAAACAAATGCAAATGTTGGAAAATTTTAATTACGAGAAACAAACACAATTATGGCATACAAAAAAAAAACAAACAAAAGAAAACATTAGAAACAAAACAAAAGCAACACACAAGAGAGACGTTTAGTGCTAAGATACGTTTAAAGTACATAATAAAAAGAAAAACAAAAGAAAAGCGAAAACACCTGTATTTTAATGGAATTGACACACGTGTTTTATCGACTGGAATACATATAGTACATTTATTTGAGTCAGTTACAAACAGAGGCTCGTCTGCTTCGGGTGGTAAGTTCTATTCTAAATGCTACATAACACCATTTACGGATTAGCGAATCTGCGCAGCTAATGATGCGTCAAAATACATACAGACTGCCTAAAGTTCGCTTGGTATTCGTATTTCTAAAACATTTTTTTTACGTTTACAACGCTCAGATATAGTATAGTTATAGGTAATAAAGTACATGTAGGGTTGGTATGTTTCTGTTTTCGTTTTGTAAAATTCCTCTTTTTTTTTGTTTAGCATTTAGCATTAGTTTTACATTTATAACACACGGCCATTGGAAGGTCCATCACGAATTCCCTCTATTCTGAACAGTACTAGCTAACTTTTAGATTTTCTCTACGGAATGAACAAACATCTATGAGTAGGAGTGGAAGATAATGTAATGCAAATGCAGAGGCGGGTTCTATATGTAGTTCTTCTTGGAATTTACATTGCATTCTCGAGCCTAACACAAGCCAGGCCTGCTAGGAAACCTTGTACATACAACATGGAATACGATGCCCTAACTATCCAAAACTTAGTTTCATTTACATGTGGTTCTTTTGGGTTAACAATCAGGTGGACAATAACAATGTGATAAAACCCATGAATAGGTTGCCTACGATTCTTATACTTTTTCAAATTCAGATCGAAGCGTTTTCGAACTGTTATAGTAATGTTTGGAAAATATTATTATTTTTAATTATTAAATAAAAGAAAAATGTAAATGCCTTCAGGCAATTTTCCGAAATTCTGACATGTTTAAAGTTTATATTCCGAATTCGGGACTTTTAAAACTAAGATTATGTGTAATGGTCTTTTCTGTTTGTGTTTGGTAGTATCTGTGTACGCAGGTATATACATCCAGGGATATATTTCGTATATAAACGAGTCTATCAAAACATCATTGTACAATAAAATACAATACAACTAATTCGCTTCATCTGCGTACGCCTAAATGTGTAAATCAGCGCAGGGATTCGTTCGTTATGTACTAAAAACAAAATCAACAACGTAGCAGACGCAGGGGATACACAGTCGCCTCATGCTTGGTCCACAGTCCATCTAAAAGAAGCGGGTCAGGCGGGGCCGGAAAAAGCGGAAGGCACCGTAGCATCCCAGGCCAATTAACCCGTACTTCAGCGTATATTTGCAGACGCGTTGGCCCAGGCTGGCCGGTGGAATTTCGAGAATGGCCGGAATCTTCTTGGGGTCCACGGTGCCCCACATCTTGGCAATGCCATTGGCATGGCCGATGCCCACAACTCCGACCACGCGTACCGGACGGATCTGCTGGGCACCCGGCGCCGCCTGTGGCAGTGCAGCCAGCTGCAGCGAGTGGCACAGGAAAAGGTCGCGCTCGCGCACGAAAACGTCAGAGAAGGCGGGAAACTCGCCGGCCATCTCCTGCATCAGCTTCTCCAGCAGATCGCTTTGCTTGCACTCCTCCACCTCCTCGATGCTGATGCTGTCGGTGAAGGTCAGGCGCCAGACCAGCTTCATCGTCTGCCACAGGGACAAAGCACGCAGGGCGCGGTACAGTGTGATGCGGATGGGACGATCGCCCAGGTGCAGGATGCAGCCAGGCAGCTTGTGGATCTCCTCGAAGGCACGCCGAAACTCGCCGCCCGGTGCCATTCCCAAATCTTTGGCGATCTGGGCGCTCATCTGCAGCAGCAGGATGAAGAAGATGCCGTTGATGTAGCCATGAGTGTGCAGGATTCCGCGAATCTACGAGAATCAGGTGTCATTCTGCAAGGCTATTAGTCCCTTAATTTCGTATTCTTACCTTGGGAATATTGATGCTCTTGGCCTCTTCCAACAGCGTTTTTTCATCGAGCTTCAGGATGTGTATACGCGATGGACACAGCTCAACCATGACCACATCTGGACGGACATTGCGAATGACCTAAAGTATTAGGGATAATTCCACATTAGGACTAGTAAATAAGAATTAATAAGAGGCACTCACAAATGAGACGTCATCCTGCGACTCCTCACTAAAGTGGGCCGTGCCCACGAGATAGACCTTGCTGCCGAATGGCGTGTTGAGCAGCGTCACCGTCGACGGCAGATTCTGTTCGAACTCCTCGATGGTGTCGTAGATTGTGATTTCGCGCTTGGTCTGCGGCGGCTGATCGATGACCGGCACCAGATCCCGCTTCTCGCCATCGCCATCAGCGGCCGCCGAGGCCTCGGCAATGGAGATGTCCAGCTTTTGCTTGCTCGTCTGCAGCAGCGACTCCTTGCGGCGTCTCTTGTCCGCGTTGGCCGTAGTGTCTTTGCTGGGCGACTTCTTCAGTAGGTTCTTTACACTGTCGCCCTCCACCAGCACCACCTTCTCGAGGTCCTCCTCCTTAATCGAGTTATCGTTAATCTCTATAATTGACAGGTTGGGATTATCCGTCTTGAATATTGTCTTGTTGGCCAGCTGCGACTTGGGGTCCACCTCCTCCTGCGAGGTATTTGTGTCGGTGCTCTCGGACTGAATCAGCAGCATGCTGGCATTGAGAGCTGGCGTAGGACTGTTGAAAGCTGCCGACGCCGGGGATCCAAAAGCCTTGAAGACGGCCGATTCATTGCCAAATTCCGCACTGGCTGTTTTGTTGGCCGAACTTAAGGGGCTGACAAGGCTCTCTGTGGATTGGAATAAAAGAAAAAATGAGTTTATCAAGATGCAAGTCATGTTTACTGATTTATAACAGAAAATATATATAAATTGTGTATGAATGTGGGGTTTCAAGGAGTGTTTGCCAGATTCTTCAAAGATTTTTCAACAAATAAAATATAAGAACGAAAATATAAATTATTCCTTTAAGATTTCCTGTTCATAAAGAACTTCCAGCTGCTCTAGATATTCCGCTCCGCAACATCCATCCGGACAGTCGGTCAGTAGGAACTGCTTTAATAGATCGAAACATTTTTGCTTCATGGCCAAAGCATTTCTTTGCTGGCTTTCTTCCTGTTTTACCAACTGATTCTCATATTTTTGAATTAGCCTCTGCTTCAGCTTTTTAATCTTCTCGTTGATAGTGGCTTCTAGCGATGGTTTATTCTGTTCGTAGGCGTGAATGCTCATCTTCTGCACAATTTTCCTTAGCTCATGGTCTAAGGTTTTCAAATGATCTTTGAATTTTTCATCGCCTGCAAAGGATGTAAAGATTTGGGATAACAAATGATTGGGAAAGGTCTCGGGAGTTTGGGATTGCAGACTGTTGCGAGCTGCCACCATTAGGTTTTTCTTTATACCCCTGCTGTAGCTTGACTTGTGGCTGTTCTGCAGGTTTAGTTTCCTTAGCTTTTGCTGCTGATGATTCGTTTGGATTTGCAGGGCAACAATCTTGAGCTTTAGAGCATTTATCTTGCGTTCGAGGTGGGCATGTTCTTCCTTGAGGTCTTTTTGAAGGTAAAAGGCTCCTGAATCGGATGTTCTGCCGCTGGTTTCGTTGCTGGTATCCTCCAAAAGATCTTCTAGATTGACGGAGTCTGTAAAGGGAGCGCTGAGTCGTCTATTTATGGTTAACTGGTACTCCATTTTTCGCAAGAGACGGTGAACAGCGTGCTTCTCCAGCTTATTTGAGTGTTTTAAGGCGTCCAGCCAGCGTCTGCAAAGGTCATAGCTCTCGGTATCCTGAGGCAGACTGAGAATGGACTGGAACATCTGGTCTAAATCGTTATCCCCATCTATTTGATGGCTCTCGTGGGCAAAGGAATGATCTGGTAGCTTCTCCACTCCCTGAATCCCGTCTGTTTTCACGACTTTGAGTTGGTGTGGCATCTTACCATTACAGGACTTGTAGGCCGTGGTGGACAGCTGGTGGTCCAGGGCACTGTCATATAAGGTATTGTCGCCCACATAGGTGCTGCTCCGCTTGTCCGGCGAGGATTCAAACGACGTGGATGCGGATACGTCCATGGTGGAGTTCAGTTGGAAGCCTGGAAGAATCGGTTGCGAGTGGAAATTCGGTTTCGGTTGATGGCGAGGCGACGTATGAACATCTGGCGAAGAACTGTGGAGTACAAAAGTTGAAGAGCGATTATCAGAGACATATAGTACATATAGATAATACGCTGCCTTTACGTTACTCTCTGCAAACTGCAAATTTGTATCACTTTTCTGCCTACGTGTCGTACATTGCCAGATGATTTTGGGCAGTCGATTGTTCTCGACTGACGTTTAACTCCCGGCCATGTAAACATATGTTGTTTATATGCCCGATTCTGTTTAATTCACCTGGGCATTTCTCCGTTTCTACTTAACTCACCTGAAAATTTGTATTTAGTGTGGGTGTTGTTGTTGCTTTGCTCTGTGTTCGGGGCAAATTGGCAAACCACTTAATTGACTATTATCTTCTGATTGAAAACTCAGTTCGGCTGCCACTGTCCGCCTTTTTGATTCGGTGCGTGCTCTTAATTTTAATAAAAACCCAAAAAACTAAAGAAATTAAATTGTGATTGTGGCAAATTATTTTCTTCTTCTTCTTCCTAGCGTCGACCAGTGTTGCCTACTGACTGAATGGGAAATATAAGAGCGGCTCTTATACGGAAGAGCAGTTATCGATTTATCGGTCGATTAAATTTTAAAATTGTTTTTTTAAGATTTTGTGTTATTTAGTGTGTACTTATATTAAATAGTTTTAGTTTTTAAATGTAAAGAGGTATTTTCTAAAAAATGTGTGTTATTAATTAATGTTGTGGTAGCTTCTTTTCTATGTTATAAATTTCTTAAAATAATTTAAAAATAAAGATTATTATTAATAATTTACAGCTTATCATACATCCTCAGCATTTATTGCAATTTATCGGTTTATAAGAGTTTATTAAATCTTTTTCAAGAATGCCACTAATATTCTACAGATGGTGTTTTTTAACGGTTTCGTTGGGGTCACACTTTTGTTTTGTTTAGCTTCGCACACGACTTTTTAAATTGCAATTGCAGCATGGCCGAAGAACCTGAGGAACCCGCAAAGGTGGGCATTACATAAACCGATTCGCCAAGGATTGCTGAATAAAACCATATCCCCATTCATCCCCACAGAGCTTCGTTATCTTTGGCCGCGATGTGGCGCAAATTCCGTGCTTTCGTAACAGTTTTCTCTACGGAATCAGCGGCGGAATCGGAATCGGCTTGCTAACCTTCCTGGGAACCTCGCGAACCCATCTGTCTACCCACGTGGGATTCGGATCCTTTTTCTGCGGCACCATCGCCTACTGGATGTCCTGTAGGTAAATGGATTTGTTTTTGACTAATCCCTATAAGTCTTATATACACGTACTTTAATCCCACAGATATCAGTGGTCCTCCAGGAGATTCGAGCAGCAGCAACTTCGGGAGGCGATGCGACGACAAGCCCTTTATGAGGGCACCGAAGTCGAACGGGATTTAGATCTTAAGTCGGCGTAGCATAAGTCAGTTCCTATCCCACTGAACAACTCCCATTCTTGTGTTTGTACTCGGGTACCAAATAATTTAGGTATTTGTAAAACCCTTTTCTTGTAAATTACCTTTTGTTACTGAACAGCTTTATAATAGCCAATATATTACATTGTAAGTAACATCTTACCTTGAAGAAATTTATGACTTGACGTGTTTTAGTTAACTACATCAGGAAGTAATTAAGGGAACCCAATGAATCCTAGTCAAATCGTAGGGGACTTTTCAAAACCTGTTATTATTTTATTGTTCCTTTCATTTTAACTAGTCAAATTTATTTATGTTCTTTGTCGTAAACTTTATATACATTTTTATTTCTTTTTAATGTTCATTAGAAAATCTGGCATGTTAATTAACTGGTTAAAGATTTATAGATATTTGTGCTTTCCTGTTGTGGACTAAATAAAATTAATAAACGTATAATAAAAGGCGAGTTTTAAAAATAAATCGTAAATATTTTGTAAAATAGCTTCAATTAATATTCAAGCTACTAAGCATTTTTGAAAAGATCTGCAGCTTAATTGTGTTTTATTCCTAAATTAAATGTATCTTTAGCATGACAGGGTCCTATTAGCCTATTTAGTGCCGGTTTCTCGAGTGCCGGCTAACATTTCTCGAACAGATAAAGTCCCTGCTAAGGCATTTTGGCTTTCTCGAGCATAAATGTGAGAGCTAACTTTGACAGGGACTCGGAGTCCCTGTTAAGCGTTTTCGACTCGATAGAATGACAGCTGATTTCCCAAAGCCAACTATGAAGATGAAACGAAATCACAGCTGACTTTTCCTTTAAATTATACCCAAACAGCTGATGAAATAATCGAAGCACGCCATTTTTTACCCTTCACAGCACAATTCTGTGCGTTAACAGCACTCTGTAATTGTTTCTCGTTCAGATAAATTAAAGCAGTCGAGAAAGCCGATTTGCTTTTACGAACAGTTTATCTGGTATTTAAGTTTTTCGAACAGATAGCTATCAGGGACTTTGACAGGGACTCGAGAAACCGGCCCTTAGACCAAATATTTCTGATAACATTTTGACTACATGTGATTGCCATATTTTCTGACATGATATTTCATTCTTCATTACTGATAGGATCTCTAATTAGTAGGTACTCTCAACTGAGATGGTGTGATAGATATCTTATTATACATTTGTATGTGTAAAGATATTTATAGATAAAAGTATATATATAGCTATGACTAATTTTCATTATTATTTTTTAGTTTAGTCCACTTAAACCAGATTAAAAGTATTTAAGATAATTCGGTAATCTTCAATGCTATCCTATCGAACTGAAATTCTATAAACTGTATCTTTAACACGTCAAGATAGTGAAAGTCATGTTTAGTTCAACGATAGATCTTCTACCTGACTATTCCCATCTGTAATGAGTAGCTGCTCTCGTCTGAGATGATAGATGTTGGAACTCCCGCCTCGAAACCCATAGACATGGTTTTTTTTGTACACACATGCGATCCTGCATTTCGTCTGGCAGTCAGCCTTATCTCATAAAAGTCGGCGATTGGATGGATTGCTCGGTCGTTGGCACATTCATTACGTTTTCGTTAACGGCGCGAGGCGGTTGTGTTTTTTATTCGACGGGCGCATGAGGTTCTCGGTTGTCTAATTTAAAAAAAACTTGTTTTCGTTTTACATTCAAAGAACGAACCTCCCATATATGTAAACGATACGTAATTGCAGGCTCGCACTTTATATAGGCATTGGTACTGAGAGATACAACAGCACAACAACATGTCGGTCAATCAAACGAACTCGATTCTGGTGTTTTTTGTGAATGGAAAAAAGGTACTTTAAGATACTTTCAGACACTTCAAGATACGTCGCGTGTTCTTAGTGTCGTTTAAATTTAGACTCTTAGGCTGGGATAGCTGTGCTATCCCCATATCGATTTTCTCTATTGTTTTATTGCCTTAATTGCGTTTAACTGGCACTCGAAGGAATTCGACTTCTTGCCCAATTGATTGTGTCGAATACGTAGCAAATACTGAGTATTTATTGAGCATACAGCGCTGATAACAATTGACCCCTATGTAGAGCATCGTTGTTTGCTGGTGGCCCCCTTATCACCTTATCAAGATCGTGCATTTGCCAATCGAATGGGAGCAGTTTCACATGGGAATGTGGGTCTGCGTAATAGCCCGGCCTTCTAATCCACAAATTCCGTCTGGCTCTACAATGTTTACATTGTGGCGCACAATAAAGTAAGCCCGGCTGGATTATCTAGATAAAACCGGCCATATTTAGCAACTGGTGTTGGAAAAGTGCAATTAAAGTTCTTAAATTTACCCCCACAGCTTTGGCACAAGTGGTATGGCAATAAATATAACCTGTTGCTCGTGTTGCCGGCATTTGATAGTGATAGATAGTGGGCTGTATCTACACAGGGCTGGCAGACTAACAACTGAATTTCACACTTTAAAATTAGTCACAGGTTTTTAAAAGATCTTAAGATCAAAAGTATGGAATTGAAAAGAAGACTACACCAAAAAAAAATTGATATAAAACATAGATCGATTTTAAATTATTTAATCAATTTTAATTTGATATGCGACCAGGTAAATTTAAACTGGTCGAATAGAGTATTTCATGTAAAAACGATATGGGGTTTTCATGACCTGAAATTTACATGGTCATATCGATTTTACGGGAAGATGTTTTTTTTATTACAATCGTTAATGAAGTAAATAATAGTTAAAAGTTCATAAAATGGATTTTTAATATGCAAAGCTTTATAACGAAATAAAAAAAAAAGTTTTTGTACCATTGTCTTGAAAATCTGGTTAATCATAACTTATAAGTAAGAACAACTGTAAACATATTTTTCTAAATTTTTGTATATCATTTACAGTTTACCATTAACTTGGATCGAAAAAAGTTTATTAAGTGTAGAATTCGGCAAATAAAATATATAATAGGGTTTATTAAGCAAAAATAAGGCAATTTGGATTTTTTTATAACAAGAATATTTATTTTTTTAGTAAAATTTAATCAAACCCCTGTTATATCCATTTTAGGTTACCGAAGTGAGACCGGATCCGGAATGCACTCTCCTCACGTATTTGCGGGAAAAGCTGCGGCTGTGTGGCACCAAGTTGGGATGTGCGGAGGGCGGATGCGGTGCCTGCACCGTGATGGTTTCCCGCCTGGACAGACGGGCCAATAAAATCCGTCACCTGGCGGTTAACGCCTGTCTCACTCCGGTTTGTGCCATGCACGGATGTGCGGTGACCACGGTGGAGGGCATTGGGAGCACCAAGACCCGTTTGCATCCCGTCCAGGAGCGATTGGCCAAGGCCCATGGATCCCAGTGCGGTTTCTGCACTCCTGGTATTGTGATGTCCATGTATGCTCTCCTGCGGAATGCGGAGCAACCCTCGATGAGGGATTTGGAGGTGGCCTTCCAGGGAAACCTCTGCCGCTGCACCGGCTATCGACCCATTCTCGAGGGCTACAAGACCTTCACCAAGGAGTTTGCCTGTGGGATGGGCGAAAAATGCTGCAAAATCAGTGGCAAGGGATGTGGATCGGATACCGATGACAAGCTCTTCGAGCGCAGCGAATTCCAGCCCTTGGACGCCAGCCAGGAACCCATCTTTCCGCCGGAACTTCAGTTGAGTGACTCCTTTGATGCGCAGAGCTTGATTTTCAGTTCGGGCAGAGTGACCTGGTATCGTCCCACCAATCTGGAGGAGCTCCTCCAGTTGAAGGCCCAGCATCCGGCGGCCAAACTGGTGGTGGGCAACACGGAAGTGGGCGTGGAGGTCAAGTTCAAGCACTTCCTCTACCCGCACCTCATCAATCCCACCCAGGTGAAGGATCTGCTGGAGATCAGGGAGACCCAGGAGGGCATTTACTTCGGATCGGCAGTCAGTTTGATGGAGATCGATGCTTTGCTTCGTCAGAGAATCGAAGAGTTGCCGGAATCGGAAACGAGACTCTTTCAGTGCACCGTGGACATGCTTCACTACTTTGCCGGCAAGCAGATCCGCAATGTCGCCTGTTTGGGTGGCAATATCATGACTGGTAGTCCCATTTCCGATATGAATCCCGTGCTCTCGGCGGCAGGAGCTCAACTGGATGTGGCCAGTTTTGTGGATGGCAAGATTCAGCGGAGAACGGTGCACATGGGAACTGGTTTTTTCACTGGTTACCGAAGGAATGTCATTGAAGCGCATGAGGTTCTGCTGGGCATCCACTTCAAGAAGACCTCTCCGGATCAATATATCGTGGCTTTCAAGCAGGCGAGAAGAAGGGATGATGACATAGCCATCGTGAATGCCGCCATAAATGTTCGTTTTAGGGAGAAATCTAATGTTGTAGAGGAGATTTCCATGGCCTTTGGTGGAATGGCTCCTACAACTGTACTGGCTCCTCGAACTTCTCAAATAATGGCTGGTGAGGAATGGAATCATCAGCTGGTGGAGCAAGTGGCGGAGAGTTTGTGCCAGGAGCTACCTTTGGCCGCCTCTGCTCCCGGTGGCATGATCGCCTATCGAAGGGCGCTCGTAGTTAGCCTCTTTTTCAAGGCCTACCTTTCCATCACTCTGAAGTTGAGCAAGTCGGGGATTATAGCCTCCGATGCGTTGCCAGCCGAGGAGCGCAGTGGTGCCGAGACCTTCCACACGCCGGTCCTCAAAAGTGCTCAGCTCTTCGAGAGGGTTTGTAGTGACCAACCCACCTGCGATCCCATTGGAAGACCCCAAGTTCATGCAGCTGCTTTGAAACAGGCCACCGGTGAAGCCATCTACACAGATGATATACCTCGAATGGATGGGGAGGTCTACTTGGCTTTTGTACTGAGCACCAAACCAAGGGCCAAGATCACCAAACTGGATGCCAGTGAAGCTCTGGCTTTAGAGGGCGTCCATCAGTTCTTTTCGTACAAGGATCTAACCGAACATGAGAACGAAGTGGGTCCTGTTTTCCATGATGAGCACGTCTTTGCCGCCGGCGAAGTTCATTGTTATGGTCAGATTGTTGGAGCCATCGCTGCGGATAATAAGGCTTTGGCTCAGAGGGCCTCTCGCCTGGTGAAGGTGGAGTACGAGGAGCTGAGCCCGGTGATTGTGACCATTGAACAGGCCATCGAGCACAAGTCCTACTTTCCGGACTATCCGCGTTTCGTGACCAAGGGGAATGTGGAGGAGGCGATGGCCCAGGCGGATCACATCTTCGAGGGCACCTGCCGAATGGGCGGACAGGAGCACTTCTATCTGGAAACCCATGCGGCACTTGCCGTTCCTCGCGATAGCGATGAGCTGGAGCTCTTCTGCTCCACCCAACATCCATCGGAAGTGCAAAAGCTAGTGGCCCACGTGACCACTCTTCCTTCCCACCGAGTGGTTTGTCGAGCGAAGCGATTGGGTGGAGGTTTCGGTGGCAAGGAATCGCGGGGCATTTCCGTTGCACTCCCAGTGGCACTGGCTGCCTACCGGATGGGTCGTCCTGTGCGCTGCATGTTGGATCGGGACGAGGACATGCTCATCACCGGCACCCGCCACCCATTCCTGTTCAAATACAAGGTGGGCTTCACCAAGGAGGGTCTGATCACTGCCTGCGACATCGAGTGCTACAACAACGCCGGATGGTCCATGGATCTGTCCTTTTCGGTGAGTGCAACAGAAAGATTTTTAAAGTTTATATTTATAAAGAATATTTAGTGTTATAATAAATTAATATCACTATGAACGGCAGTCCAAGTAGTGACGAAGCGCACAAGGAGAGTGTGCGAAGGCGACTACTATATATAGCCGCAGAATTGAAAATCTGCTGTGATGGTCCGATCGAAAGGTATCGCAAAAACTAAGAGGATGGGACATGGAACATGGCACATGGAACATGGCACATGGCACATGGAACATGGAACATGGAACATGGAACATGGCACATGGAACACGGAACATGGAACATGGAACATGGAACATGGAACATGGAACATGTCACATGGAACATGTCACATGAAACATGGCACATGGAACATGGCACACGGAACATGGCACATGGAACATGGCACATGGCACATGGCACATGGCACATGGCACATGGCACATGGCACATGGCACATGGCACATGGCACATGGAACATGGAACATGGAACATGGCACATGGAACATGGCACATGGAACATGGCACATGGAACATGGAACATGGAACATGGAACATGGAACATGGAACATGGAACATGGCACATGGAACATGGCACATGGAACATGGAACATGGCACATGGCACATGGAACATGGAACATGGCACATGGAACATGGAACATGGAACATGGAACATGGAACATGGAACATGGAACATGGAACATGGAACATGGCACATGGAACATGGAACATGGAACATGGAACATGGAACATGGCACATGGAACATGGAACATGGAACATGGAACATGGAACAAGGAACATGGAACATGGCACATGGAACATGGAACATGGCACATGGAACATGGAACATGGAACATGGCACATGGCACATGGAACATGGCACATGGAACATGGCACATGGAACATGGCACATGGCACATGGCACATGGAACATGGCACATGGCACATGGAACATGGAACATGGAACATGGCACATGGCACATGGCACATGGAACATGGCACATGGCACATGGAACATGGAACATGGAACATGGCACATGGCACATGGCACATGGCACATGGAACATGGAACATGGCACATGGCACATGGAACATGGAACATGGAACATGGAACATGGAACATGGCACATGGAACATGGCACATGGGACATGGAACATGGAACATGGAACATGGAACATGGAACATGGAACATGGAACATGGCACATGGCACATGGAACATGGAACATGGAACATGGAACATGGAACATGGCACATGGAACATGGAACATGGCACATGGAACATGCAACATGGCACATGGGACATGGAACATGGCACATGGAACATGGCACATGGCACATGGAACATGGAACATGGAACATGGCACATGGCACATGGAACATGGAACATGGCACATGGCACATGGAACATGGAACATGGCACATGGAACATGGAACATGGCACATGGAACATGGCACATGGCACATGGCACATGGAACATGGCACATGGCACATGGCACATGGCACATGGAACATGGAACATGGCACATGGCACATGGCACATGGCACATGGCACATGGCACATGGAACATGGAACATGGAACATGGAACATGGCACATGGCACATGGCACATGGCACATGGAACATGGAACATGGAACATGGAACATGGAACATGGCACATGGAACATGGCACATGGAACATGGCACATGGCACATGGCACATGGCACATGGCACATGGAACATGGAACATGGAACATGGCACATGGCACATGGCACATGGCACATGGAACATGGCACATGGCACATGGAACATGGAACATGGAACATGGAACATGGCACATGGCACATGGCACATGGAACATGGAACATGGCACATGGAACATGGAACATGGAACATGGAACATGGCACATGGAACATGGCACATGGAACATGGAACATGGAACATGGAACATGGCACATGGAACATGGAACATGGAACATGGTACATGGTACATGGAACATGGAACATGGCACATGGAACATGGCACATGGAACATGGCACATGGCACATGGCACATGGAACATGGCACATGGAACATGGAACATGGCACATGGCACATGGCACATGGAACATGGCACATGGCACATGGAACATGGAACATGGCACATGGCACATGGAACATGGAACATGGCACATGGAACATGGAACATGGAACATGGCACATGGAACATGGAACATGGCACATGGAACATGGCACATGGCACATGGAACATGGCACATGGCACATGGAACATGGCACATGGCACATGGAACATGGCACATGGCACATGGCACATGGAACATGGAACATGGAACATGGAACATGGAACATGGAACATGGAACATGGAACATGGAACATGGAACATGGAACATGGAACATGGCACATGGAACATGGCACATGGAACATGGCACATGGCACATGGAACATGGCACATGGCACATGGAACATGGAACATGGCACATGGAACATGGAACATGGAACATGGAACATGGAACATGGAACATGGAACATGGAACATGGAACATGGAACATGGAACATGGAACATGGAACATGGAACATGGAACATGGAACATGGAACATGGAACATGGAACATGGAACATGGAACATGGAACATGGAACATGGAACATGGAACATGGCACATGGAACATGGGACATGGAACATGGCACATGGAACATGGCACATGGCACATGGAACATGGAACATGGAACATGGAACATGGAACATGGAACATGGCACATGGCACATGGCACATGGAACATGAAACATGGAACATGGCACATGGAACATGGAACATGGCACATGGCACATGGAACATGGAACATGGAACATGGCACATGGAACATGGCACATGGAACATGGAACATGGAACATGGAACATGGAACATGGAACATGGAACATGGAACATGGAACATGGCACATGGAACATGGCACATGGAACATGGCACATGGAACATGGCACATGGAACATGGCACATGGCACATGGAACATGGCACATGGCACATGGAACATGGAACATGGAACATGGCACATGGCACATGGCACATGGCACATGGAACATGGAACATGGCACATGGCACATGGAACATGGAACATGGCACATGGCACATGGCACATGGCACATGGCACATGGCACATGGAACATGGCACATGGCACATGGAACATGGAACATGGCACATGGCACATGGAACATGGCACATGGCACATGGAACATGGAACATGGCACATGGCACATGGCACATGGAACATGGCACATGGCACATGGAACATGGAACATGGAACATGGCACATGGCACATGGCACATGGCACATGGCACATGGCACATGGAACATGGCACATGGCACATGGAACATGGCACATGGAACATGGAACATGGCACATGGCACATGGAACATGGAACATGGCACATGGAACATGGAACATGGAACATGGAACATGGAACATGGAACATGGAACATGGAACATGGAACATGGCACATGGAACATGGAACATGGAACATGGAACATGGAACATGGCACATGGAACATGGAACATGGAACATGGAACATGGAACATGGCACATGGAACATGGCACATGGAACATGGAACATGGAACATGGAACATGGCACATGGAACATGGAACATGGAACATGGTACATGGTACATGGAACATGGAACATGGCACATGGAACATGGCACATGGAACATGGCACATGGCACATGGCACATGGAACATGGCACATGGAACATGGAACATGGCACATGGCACATGGCACATGGAACATGGCACATGGCACATGGAACATGGAACATGGCACATGGAACATGGCACATGGAACATGGAACATGGAACATGGAACATGGCACATGGAACATGGAACATGGAACATGGTACATGGTACATGGAACATGGAACATGGCACATGGAACATGGCACATGGAACATGGCACATGGCACATGGCACATGGAACATGGCACATGGAACATGGAACATGGCACATGGCACATGGCACATGGAACATGGCACATGGCACATGGAACATGGAACATGGCACATGGCACATGGAACATGGAACATGGCACATGGAACATGGAACATGGAACATGGCACATGGAACATGGAACATGGCACATGGAACATGGCACATGGCACATGGAACATGGCACATGGCACATGGAACATGGCACATGGCACATGGAACATGGCACATGGCACATGGCACATGGAACATGGAACATGGAACATGGAACATGGAACATGGAACATGGAACATGGAACATGGAACATGGAACATGGAACATGGCACATGGAACATGGCACATGGAACATGGCACATGGCACATGGAACATGGCACATGGCACATGGAACATGGAACATGGCACATGGAACATGGAACATGGAACATGGAACATGGAACATGGAACATGGAACATGGAACATGGAACATGGAACATGGAACATGGAACATGGAACATGGAACATGGAACATGGAACATGGAACATGGAACATGGAACATGGAACATGGAACATGGAACATGGAACATGGAACATGGCACATGGAACATGGGACATGGAACATGGCACATGGAACATGGCACATGGCACATGGAACATGGAACATGGAACATGGAACATGGAACATGGAACATGGCACATGGCACATGGCACATGGAACATGAAACATGGAACATGGCACATGGAACATGGAACATGGCACATGGCACATGGAACATGGAACATGGAACATGGCACATGGAACATGGCACATGGAACATGGAACATGGAACATGGAACATGGAACATGGAACATGGAACATGGAACATGGCACATGGAACATGGCACATGGAACATGGCACATGGAACATGGCACATGGAACATGGCACATGGCACATGGAACATGGCACATGGCACATGGAACATGGAACATGGAACATGGCACATGGCACATGGCACATGGCACATGGAACATGGAACATGGCACATGGCACATGGAACATGGAACATGG